ATATTACTGCTTGGGGAAACACAATTTTAAAACAGATTAAAAATTTAGACTCTTAAAATATTCCCAGTTGACTCTGCATTTTATTAATAATAGGGTTGTCGTGTCTGACTCTTGCAACCCTATGGACTGTAGCCCTCCGGTCTCCTCTGTGCATGGATTTCCCAGGCAAGAATTTTATTGGACTGGGTTGCCATTTCCTCCTGCAGGGGATCTTCCCAACCTAGGGATCGAACCAGAGTCTCTTTTGTCTCTTACACTGGCAGCTGGATTCTTAACCACTGAGTCACCTGGAATGCCCCAGAGCTAGGATGGTTCTGGCCAAGTAACCACGCCATACCTTTAAGACTGTCTCCCTCAATGGGTTCTTTTCCTTTCTGGCTGTTTCTCATCCTTGTAGACCTCTCTTCACCATGCACCCCCTTTGCATAACCCTGTTGTGCTTAATGAGGGACTTGCCTTATAAACATTTTGAGTTGCTTAGATTGAATAATACTTATAATTGACCAGATGTTCTTAAAATAGTTTGTTGTTTCATTCGACTTGACATTCACATTAGGAAAACAAAGACTGTTTTTTCTCACATTGTGCATTGTGAGTTGCTTTGCCAACTCCTATTTCAAGTTTGCAGCTGCTCAATGTTTGCAAGGTCATATTCAGCCCATCCTGTGTGTCGGGAAGGTCGTGATGGGCTTAGACAATGTAACTCTTTTTTTTTTTTTTTTGGGTAAAATATGCCCAATTGTTGTTCCCTCTTAATCGTGATGACAAGCTCACCTCAGAGCGTGTCTACTCTGGAGGAAAGAAAACTGACCAGGTGCCAGGAAATCATGTCTGACCTTCTCCAAGGCTAAATCAGGAGGTATGGAGGTGAGGGGCCAAGACTGACCTGTGCGCAGGGCAGTGGGAGGCTGCGCTGTCTCAGGTCAAGTGGAAATCGTGGTCCAGGAAGAAAGGAAGCAAGAGGTCAAGCCCTGTGCACTGGACTGAGAGTCGTGTCTTTGGCCAGGCCGTAAACAGGAAAGGCAGCAAGCTGCAGGGGAGTGAGTCGTCTGGGAACGGACCAAGCAGAGGCGACCTGCGGTCCAGCGCGAGAGGCAGTGTGTGGGGACAGGGCTGTGGGCTTCAAGACGGTGTGCAAGGGGTAAGCTCCCGATTTCTGCCAGTTGGGGTGATGTCCAGCCTTACCACAGCCTGCACAGCAGATGATAAAGCCAGAGGTTTCTGAGATTTGGATTGTTTCCTTCTTCCAAAGTAATCTGGGCCCATCAATGTGAACTTCCTGAACCTGTGTCCACTTATTATCTTTCGGTTCAGCTTCTCTCCTCACTTTCATTCGCATCGGTTAATGTTCAGGCTCTTCAATCTGACATAGCACAATGACTTCTGCTTACCAAGCAGGCACTCTGTCCCAGGAATTTTAAATATATTATTTCTCACTCACTCTTCACAACTGTACGTGGGAGGTGATGGTGTATAGGTTTTACAGAGAGAAAAGAAAAAACAAAACAAAACTTAGCTAAAGTCCAGAGGTTGAGTAATTTCTCCAAAGTCACATGACCAAGTGGCAGGAAAGGAATTTGAACCCGGGTCTCTGGGTGACATTCTGTGTCATCTGCTGCTTGGCAGGTGACATCCCTGCAGAATCTGGGCCCCAGACCTAGCAGACAGTGTCCACTGCTGCCTGTCCACAGCTCTCCAGGACAGAAAAGCCAGTTAAGCAACCTCTGCCTCCTTGGGGACACTTCCAGTCTTAAGTGATTTCTCAATGCTTCCAATAAAGTTTTGTGATCTCTGTTAGGGCTTAACTAACATTCTGACACCAAATAATTGATGCCTTTGAACTGTGGTGTTGGAGAAGACTCTTGAGAGTCCCTTGGACAGCAAGGTGATCAAACCCATCAGTCCTAAAGGAAATCAGTCCTGAATGCTCATTGGAAGGACTGATGCTGAAGCTGAAGCTCCAATACTTTGGCCACCTGATGCGAATAGCTGACTCATTAGAAAAGACCCTGATTCTGGGAAAGATTGAAGACAGGAGGAGAAGGGGATGACAGAGGATGAGATGGTTGGATGGCATCACTGACTCAGTGGACATTGAGCAAGCCTCGGGAGATGGTGAAGGACAGGGAGGCCTGGCATGCTGCAGTCCGTGGGGTCACAAAGAGTCGGACACAACTGAGCGACTGAACTACTGAACAACAGCAGCAACAACATTCTTAATCAAAATATAGTCGGCACTCCATCCTGTGATCTTTAAGAGACATTAAGGATTGAAACAGAGGGAGGCGCTGGGAAATATAAACAAAAAAATCTTGGCCCATGATCCAGGATCCAAACAACAGTGGACATTTAAAATAATAATAAAAAGCGTAGATTCAAGGTGCAGGGAAATGTTACAAAAGAAAATAGACTCAGAGAGTGGGGGAGTCTTGACTCTGGTACCCTCTGCACTCTCCAGATTACTGAATGACCCCTCAAGTCAACCAAGTGTTCTGGCCCCTTTGACTTAAGCTCAAATTATCATGTTTAATTATCTGGAAGATTCCAACCCTTCCGAAAGCTACTTGAATTTGTATCAGAGCTCTCTTCTTCTTTTTTTCAATGTTATTTTAATGTTATTTAATTTTATTTGCTCATGTTTGCTGCACGGGTCTTCATAGTTGCATGCGGATTTTCTCTCGTTTCCCGGAACGGGCACGGCTGTGTGGTTGCGGAGCGCGGGCTTCTCACTGCAGTGCCTTCTCGTTGCAGAGCAGAGGCTGTGGCATGTGGGCTCAGCAGCTGCAGCTCCTGGCTCTAGAGCACTGGCTCGGTAGCTGGGTGCACAGGCTTCCTTGCTCTGTGGCCTGTGGGATCTTCCCTGATCGGGATCAAACCCCTCTCCCCTGGATTGGCAGGCAGATTCTTAGCCACAGACCATCTCAGAGTTCTCTTCTAACAATGGAAGTTACACCTACTTCAGACTAAGTTGCTCTCAGATATTAACTGACCTGGGAAGAGGCCACTGCTCTGATTTCTGTCCTCACCCCCGAAGCCCATTCCAGCTGGAATTCGGTAATCCCCCTTGTTTGTCTGAGCTCTCACAGGTCAGGGTCCCCTCTGCTGCTCTGTCAGCCTGAGGTCACTCACACCCTGGGTCTTGTGTCCTTGTGTCTTATCTCCTCTGAGTTTTCAAGATCATCGTGTGGTCTCTTCCCTTGAGTTACAGTGCCTTCCCTCCACCAGTGCCCTGCCTGGAACGCACAGTGCTTCATCCTAACTAAATATTTGCTTAGTGATACCCAGTGAACTATGACTGTTAAAACACAAAAAGAGGATGTAATTTTTTTTTTTTTTTTAAAGAAAAGAAGCTCACAGTTTAGACAATCTTCCAGGACTGTCTTAGGAGGCAGTGGTGCATGGGCTGTTTCTGGAAGGTCAGTTGACACCTGGGCAGTGAGGACAGAAACGGTGTGGGAAGACCATTCCACCCGGAGGATATGGAGCATTGAGGCCAGAGCTTCACACACTGGCTTCCCTGTGATGTTCCTACAGCAGAGAACAGCTTGACCTGATCAACAACTATTTTAACAAAAGCTTCTCTCACTGGCTTGCTGAGGTCCTGCTCTCCTGGGCTGGGTGCTTGATTGGTGTGGTGGTGTCTTCCTCAAGACCCATTGGAGGGATGGAAGGAAGGATGGGGCTGAGTGGATCCCTCGAGACCTGTCAATAGAGGAAAGGAATATATCATCAATAGGGGGAAGGAATATTACCATCAATACGGGGAAGGTATATTACCATCAGTACAGGAAAGGAATATTATCATCAGTGGGGGAAGGAATATTATCATCAATACAGGAAAAGAATATTATCATCAATAGGGGGAAGGAATATTACCATCAATACGGGGAAGATATATTACCATTAGTATGGGAAAGGAATATTATCATCAATACAGGAAAGGAATATTACCATCAATACGGGAAAGGAATGTTACTATCAATACGGGGAAGGTATATTACCATCAATATGGGGAAGGAATATTACCATCAATAGGGGGAAGGTACATTACCATCAATAGGGGAAGGTCATTACCATAAATATGGGGAAGGTCATTACCATCAATAGGGCAAGGTATATTACCATCAATACGGGGAAGGTATATTACCATCAATACCGGAAAGGAATATTACTATCAATACAGGGAAGGTATATTACCATCAATATGGGGAAGGAATATTACCATCAATAGGGGGAAGGAATATTACCATCAATACGGGGAAGGTACATTACCATAAATACGGGGAAGGTACATTACCATCTATAGGGCACGGTATATTACCATAAATACGGGAAAGGAATATTACCATCATTACGGGGAAGGAATATTACCATCAATACGGGGAAGGGATATTACCATCAATACAGGAAAGGAATGTTACTATCAATATGAAAAAGGAATGTTACTATCAATACGGGGAAGGAATATTACCATCAATAGGGGGAAGGAATATTACCATCAACAGGGGGAAGGAATATTACCATCAATATGGGGAAGAAATATTATCGTCAATATGGGGAAGGAATATTACCATCAATACGGGGAAGGAATATTACCATCAATATGGGGAAGGACTATTACCATCCATACGGGGAAGGTATATTACCATCAATACGGGGAAGGAATATTACCATCAATACGGGGAAGGACTATTACCATCAATATGGGGAAGGACTATTACCATCCATACGGGGAAGGTATATTACCATCAATGGGGGAAGGAATATTACCATCAATACGGGGAAGGAGTATTACAGTCAATACTGGAGAGGAAGTGTCACCCACAGACCATGTCAGGGGCCTCTGGCTAAAACTCAGAGAACCCAATGAGGCCTATGAAACTCGGGCCCCTCAGCGGTCACTCGGCCAGCCCCGGGGCCCCGGGTTCAGCCAGGAGTGGCCCTGCCCGGGCTCCGTGGAGGCCACGCGGATCTGACGGCCTGTGCTTCTCTCGTTTCAGACTGCTCTGCCATGAGCGCCGCGCGCGCGTGCCGGCCGTCTTGGGACTTGGCCCTGGACCCGCTGGTGTCCTGCAAGCTGTGTCTGGGGGAGTACCCCGTGGAGCAGATGACGACCATCTCCCAGTGCCAGTGCGTCTTCTGCACCCTGGTTGGTCTCGCCGGGAACACCGGCTTAAAAGGATTTCGGGATGTGCCTTTTGCTTTTGTTTTAGAGACAGCCTCACTTTTAGAGTCACCCTCACTTTTACGCAGTTTTATTCAGAGGATTCTCTTCTGAGCCCGTCCGACTCCCCAGGCAGGCTCCTTTGCAGGTGCTCGTGGTGCAGAAGTGATCAGTTACACAGAGGCTTAGAAGCAGGGAACACAGCTGAGAAACCCTGCCATGGTGTGCCCGCTCCTTTCTGGAGAAGAAACCTTCACTGTAGCTTGTGTCCAGTGTAAGGAAACAATGGCGTGCCTGAGATGGTCAGGGTGCCGTCCTGATGAGTGTGCACACCAGGAGAGTCGGCTGTGCATGTCAGCTGGCACGGCCTTAGTGCTAAACTGGAGAGGATGTATTTTTCTTTTAATTGATTTTATACTGATGTATAGTCGATTAACAATGTGGTGATAGTTATGCATGTCAGTATGCTTAGTCACTCAGTTGTGTCTGACTCTGTGACTCTTTAGAGTGGAGCCCCTCTGTCTGTGGGAGTTTTCAGACAGGAACACTGGACTGGGTTGCTGTTTTCTTCTCCAGGGGATTTTCCTGACCCCGAGATTGAATCCACATCTCCTGCACTGTCGGTGGATTCTTTACCTGCTGAGCTATCAGGGACGCCCCTGTGAGTTACAGGTGCACTTCAAAGAAGCTCATCCGTGCATGCAGGTGCATCCATTCTCTCCAAACTCCCCTCCCATGAGCATGTTGAAATCACTCTTGAATCTCCTGAAGATGCAGCCAGCTTCATTTTGAGCCAAAGGCTGTGCGGGATTTCAGGGCTGCAGGTCTTCTGTCCCCAGCAGGCCTTACTCAGACCCAACATTTTACTCACCAGAAAAGAAAAATGAGGGTGTAGGCTTTCTTTTCAGTTTGTCTCATTGAATTTTATTTTTTTCCCATTCAAGGAATTCCAAAATAAAAAACAAAGTCCAGAAAAAATATTTTTTCTTCAAACTGTGAAAAACTAAAAAAGTTACTGTGTTAAGTAAACTCTCCAGACGGCCTGCCTGTGTGTTGCTCAGATGTCCTGCTCAGTTTCCGTCCGCTCACAGCCGCCTCCCCAGAGGCTTCTTCCCTCCTGCCCCCTTCTCTGTCTGTCTCTTGATCTCCTTGAAATGTAGGCTCATTTGGTAGCATCATCTACCTTTTACGGATGAGGAGACGGAGGTTGCAGTCATTTAAGTCTGTGTATCTGACTTCCTTTTATGCTAGACCCTGGCTTCCCGAGGGCACAGTTCTGCCCCCAAATACCTGGTTTACAGCGGGACCCGTGACTGCTGTTGTTCAGTGGCCCAGCCATGTTCCGCTCTCTGCAACCTCACGGACTGCAGCACGCCAGGCTCTTCTGTCCTCTCAGCATCTCCCAGAGTTTGTTCTGGGAGTTTGTCCATTGAGTCTGTGATGCTATCTAATCACCCTGATAGATAATCAGGAAATGTGGCTGGATTGAATCGCAGAGAGTCGGCCTCAGCTGCGTGCTTGGTGGCCAAGCAATGTTGCCTCACTGAAGCCCCAGGAAAGGAAATTCAACCTGGAGCACGGGAAGCTGTTTGGGGGCATTTTCTGAGCTGGGGAAGGATGGGAGGCAGAGGTCCCTGGGGGAGGTAGATGGACAGACAGACCTCCAGCCCAAGAACACAGAGCGTTTTCATTTCTGGAGGGTGAACTGGAATGGTCCAGCCGTGTCTGGCTGGATTAAAGAATCCCCTTTATGCAAAATTGCCTCTTTTCTTGCCTGAAGGGAAGTTTTCCAGTCTCAGCTAACTGGCTGGCTTCCCTGTGCAGCTGTGCCGGAGAGCGAGCTCCCAGCCCCTCCCTGTCGCCCCCAATGTGGCATCGTGGGGAGGGCCTCCGGAGACCACAGCTCTCCTCCTCCGTGAGGTCGCTCATTCACCCCGCCGTGGTTTCACCCCGCCTTTCATTTTTTGTCCTTGTTTTAGTTTCCTGTTTCTACCAGATAGCAGCTCTAATTCAGATCCGACACTTAATTTAAGTCAGAGCTTGTGAATAGAGGAGAAGAGCACTGTTTTCTCACAGGGGGCTTGCTGGGAGCACTAAGAAATAGGGGATGGTTTGGATTTTTTTTTTCACAACCGTTTATTAAAAATTAAGATGTTGAGACCAGGCCTGCTTGTGCCTGCAGCTCCGTGTGGCTTGAAGCACAGGAAACACCTGCGTGTCCACAGACTGAGTGGGCGGGGGAAGGCCCCGTCCCCTCGTGGAGGCCCCCGGGCCCCCCACCAGCAGAAGTGCCTGTGCTTTTCTTGGGGACAGACCTGAGAAGAGAAGAGTGAAGAAAGGAAGTTGTGCAAAGCTGCAGGAAGGCTCTCTTAAGATAAAAAATGACCAGAGATTTACAGGCTTTAGGTCAGAAGAAGATTGACCTCGAGGAGGAAGGGGGTCCAGAGAAAGCCTGGAGCTGGGGTCAGGCGTCAGCGCCCTGAAATGCAGGCTGTTTCCGACCCCGCCACTCTCGTGGGCCTCACCCAAGTAATGGAGATGAACGGAGTTCACCCCGAGGCTCGGGGCACGCGTGTGGAGGAGCTGCTCCGTGGCAGGCCGTCTGCAGGCTCTTAACCCCTTCAGCTCGTTTCTGAGTTTGGGGTCAGAACTGCAGGAATCCAAAAGAGCAGCTTTCCCCAGCCATGCGTCCCGGGGAACATTTGTCCTAAGAGATGCACTCAGATGACCATCCCGGCTCAGTGGATTTGCTCAGCACCATGTGCCGTGTCCGTCTCTGTACCCACCCTGGGACACTCTGGGTGCCCGAGAACATGGAGGAAGCCCCAGAAATCCGCATGAGGGACCACTGTTGATTTCACTTGCAGCTCCCTGAATTATTGTATGTTCACCCCTCCTACTGGAGGCTCAGACGGTAAAGCATCTACCTGCCATGTGGGAGAGCTGGGTTCGATCCCTGGGTCAGGAAGACCCCCTGGAGAAGGAAATGGCAACCCACTCCAGTACTCTTGCCTGGGAAATCCCATTAACAGAGGAGCCAGGTGGGCTTCAGAAGAGTCAGACTTGACCCAGCAGCTTCACTTCCTCACAACCCCTCCTGTCTTCCCTTCCCCTGGGAGGTCTTCGTGATGAAGATGTAGTCGGGTTACATGCTCATTCTTGATCCTGCACGACTCTGGAGCAGACAGACCGTGTCCTGCAAGCAGGGCTTCTCCTGCAGCTTGGTTAGAAGCCCAAGGAGAGCACCCTCCCTGCGGAGTTGGGGCGGATGGCACCTACCCAATAGGAGCTCTGCCTCTCAGCCAGCATGCTGGGGACAGGCAGCATCAGATGTTTGTTGGCCTTTGCGGATGAGCAGAAGGCATAGCTTCAGCTTCATGTTCTTCTGTGAGGCTGGGGGAGCAAGGGGAAGGCCCGGCTTGGTCCCAGAGTACTCCTGGGTCATCAGAGCTGGCCCGAGTCATCCATAGAACACGCCCTCTGTTGCCTCCTAGTCACCTCCCAACGTCACCCTGAGTCCGGCCCCCGGGGTCAGGTGTCATCCATCCTCCGGGTCCCTGTGGCCATGGCCCAGTTCTCAGAACAAAGAGCATCCTCGTGCATTTTATCAGTAGGTGTGTGGCCGCATCAGCAGGGCTTCCCAAGGCAGGTTCACATTTCATGGCTGGTTTTTCAGATCCTGGTGTAGCTGCAGGCTGGGCAGAGGCTGGGCCCAGATCCCTACCCACAGCTAGGGCCGTCCCGGTGCCCTGATTGGGACTGGTCATCCTGCCCCATCAGGTTCATCTTCACACGTGGAGACCGGGTTCTTATACAACATCTTTTGGTGATGTGCATCCACTCCGGGCACCCTGGAACCCACGGCCTCCATAGATGACACCTGCTACTCGGCTCAGCTCTGGGGGCCTTCCGCGTCTCCCCTGCCCACCCCTGGGGGTTCGTAGTCCCCCAGGACCACCTGCTCTGTTTCTCGACTCCATGTGCCGTCATACCCATGCACCGTCTCCTGGAGGTTCTCTGCCGTGGGCACACCCAGCCCTGGGATGGACAGCTTCCTCTCTGGGTGGCAGTATTGAATGAGCAGCATCCGCACCTCGGGCCAACCAGTCTGCCTGTTCGTGCTGATTGTGGTGAGGCGGGGATGGCCACCCAGGTCCTCCTGCCACCATCACAGCTCCCCACGCCGCCCTTCGGAGAAGCGGGTGCCCAGTGTCCGCTGGTTTAGTTGACCTGGAAAATCCCAGCAAGTGACAGACTCGCAGCTGAGAACTATCGACTCCGTCTCTTGAGGGAGAGCGTTGCCCATCAGACGGACTCAGCCCGAGTCTGTCTATGCACCTGTGGTCACACCCCCTCCCACGAGGGGCGACGGGACCTCAGAAGGGGTCACGTCTGCCCCAGCTGCCTGTGGGGTCAACTGTGCACGGACACCAGGCTGCAGGTCTGGGGGCCCGTGGAAAGGATGGGCACCCCAGTCTGGACTAGTGGGCTGGCGGGGTTTTGGTGGGAAGATGTCCACGTGGACAGAGAGAGGCTGGTGGCTGCAGGCTAATAGGGTCGGAGTGGCAGGAACTGGTGTCCTGAGGCCTTTTTTGTATATCCTTCCACCAGGGACAGTGCCTGCAGGGAAAGTCATTTTCCTGGTCCAGTGGTTGACTGGGTTTTGACTCTTAGAAACCCTGAGGGAAAGGCCCAGGGGACACATGGGGGGCTGAGTATCGACATTAGTGCCCCCCAACTGTGGGGCCCACCTGGACTTCAGCGCCCAAGGGGTCAGAGATCTCAGGGGAGGTGAGTCCAGGAGACAGCTTGCTGGTGGTTTGGCAAGACCACTAGACCCAGAGTACATGTAGATGAGAGGTTTTTTTTTTTCGTCCAGTAGAAAGTAAATCTGATTTTTTTTTCTTTTCCCTCTAAAAATTTTATTAATACAAAAGCAGCCTTCATCTCTTGGAGTCCCTGGTTCGGGTGAAGTCAATCCCGGCAGCCTGGAGTGGTATTGCTGCCAGAACATACACAGTGGGGCTTGCTGGGTGGTCTGCTCGGGTTTCCAGTCCCTGGCAGCAGTTGAGGGTTGGGGGGGTGGATTGCATGAAGCATCCTCGTCTTGCCCGCTGTGCCAGGCAGTGGCTCCAGCCTCCTGAGGACAGCCCTGTAGGACGTGTCTGCCCTCCTCGCCCGCCGAGAGGCCCGGGATGCCCGTCCAGCTGGCTCTCTGGCAGTGACCTGAGGTCCCCACCCCAGGTCTCCCCTCCTCTGCACAGATGCGTGTCCATGTTCACGTGTGCGTGTCGGCTTGTTCTGCGTACAGACTACTCACCCCTCCAGCTGTTGGCCTCTGTCTCTCCTGCCAAGCTGTTATGGGCTTGCTTTTCACCAGCACTCCATCAGGCCCAGGGCCTGGGAGGATAAACAGCCTGGGTTTCAAAGAGCCTGCCGCCTAGCAGAGGAGAGGGGTACGCAGACCCTCCCTGAGTGAGGCCGTGGGGGCCGGGCAGAACTCATGGTACGTGTGCGGGCACCTATCCACCGAAGCATCCTTTTCTGTCCTTGGGGTTTGTTTCCTTCCACACTGTGGGGAGCCGGGGGCCTCAGAGAGGTGCATGCCCACATCTGGCATGAGGGTTCCCTGGCATCCCCACCAGAGCGGTGGTCCCAGGGTCTTATCTGCCTGAACCCAGTCCACGGGACCCCCACAGCCGTTGTTCAGATCTGCCTTTGTGGGCTGTTTATAAACACAGATCCCTGATAAGCGGAAGCCATTCAGGCACCTTTGAGCATGATTTCTCGGGGTTTCTCCCAGCTGTTAGCATCATCAGTAACTGATGGGCCTCCCAGGGAGAAAGCAGACCAAGTTCAGGCTTGTTGCAGACTCCATACCGGGCAGCCGTCTCTCTGTGGCCCCTTCTCCTTGGCGAAGGATTCCGATGCGACAGGGGTCCCAGCAGATCGGTAGACCCCCCTCTGCATCTTTGGACCCGGGTTTCAACGGGTTGGGCGAGAAAGTGGAGAGTGAACAATCTGGAACTTTCTGCAGCTCTCCATACACCACCTCCCGGCTCCCGGACCTTCCTATTCTTTGTGCAGTGGACGCCCCTTTCCTGAGAGGCCTTCTTCCTCTGGCCAACTTTCTATCTCTGGTACCTTCCTGATCCCCCTTCCCAAGGTGGGACCCCCCCCAGAAACCTCAGCACGGTGCATCTTTGGGGGGACCTTGGGGGTCTTGATGGACAGGAAGGCCTGGTGTGCTGCGTGGGGTTGCAAAGAGTCGGACATGACTGAGCGACTGAACTGAACTGGGGGTCTTGATGTCCTGGAGGGTCCTGGCACCCAAGCATCAGGGACACATAGAGACACACTCTGAGGTAACAGAAAGTAAGAAATTATTGCTTACGAAAGAATTCTTGATTGGGGAGGAAGGAGGCGAGAGTTTAAAAAACAAAACCACCACCTCTTCGGAGTCAGGCATACATGGATTTGAGCCAAGCTCCTCCACTTACAGACCCTGACTTTGTCCTGTTTCTGACTTCCCTGAGCTTTGTTCTCTTCTCTGTCTAAGGGGAGCGATTAACACCTCCTAAGAGTCTTGTTTGTTTAGTTGGCTAACACAGGTGGTGATTAACGCGGAGTCTTGAGGCCTTTGGTTACAGAGAGCTGTAATTAATACGATAGTCGGGAATACATCAGTGTCTGCCTCTGTCCTGTATATTTATTTTCACCGAGGTTTCTCTGGCATTTTTGGGTGCTCATTTCAAGACATCTTTTTGCCATTAGATTGAAAAACACAGCTTGTGAGTCATGGCCCGGTTTCTATCTGGAAGAAGACTGGACTTGTTTTCCATGGATGCTTGGTCAGATCCAGATCCTCATCGCTCCCTCCTTTAAAGGGGCTTTCGTTCTCCTCTAGTCTTTGTGTGTTTTTTTTTTTTTTCAGTTTAACTAATTAATTGATTTTTAGCTGTGCTGAGTCTTCGTTGCTGCACAAGCTTTTCTCTAGTTGTGGTGTCCTGGCTTTTTCTTGTGGTCACTTCTGTTGTCATGGAGCACGGCCGTAGGGCGCGTGGACTTCAGGAGTTACGGCCTCCCGGGCTTTAGAGCACAGGCTCAGGAGCGTGGCTCATGGGCTTAGCTGCTCCGTGGCATGTGGGGTCTTCCCAGATCAGGATTCGGACTGGTATCTCCTGTATTGGTCGTCGGGTTCTTCTCCACTGAGCCGCCAGAGAATTCCCCATCCCTTTTATGTAGTATGCAAATAGATGCTTCCAGAAATGGTCATTTTGCAGATTGTGCAGAGCCTGCTGGTGGCATAGAATGTTCACCCCCAAGGTAGCCCTCCCCAGGATTGACGCACTGGTTGTTGATACATGCAAGTCCTGGCACAGCGATGCTTAGAGCCGGAAATGTCCCCTGAGTGTACCTGTCACAGCGGCTTTAACTGTTGTATTTTGTCAGCTTTCTTTCATTGTGTACCTCTCTGCACAATTTTGTGAGAGTTTCCGGCGTTTTATCGCTTTATGGCATTCTAATGTCCCCCAGAGACTCGATTTAGACAGACTTAATTATAAAAAAGTAAAAGAATGATCTTGCGGCTAAGGTTGTGATATTTTTTACACCTGTGACTGTAAGGCACCAATCACCAAGATACACACGCAGCGGATAACAGCCACCCCTCTCACTTAGCTGGTCTGTGTAGCAGGAATCGTGGCAGGTGATTTTCCATACTTTCTTTCTTACCGTCGCAGATGTCCAGCAGGATGGGCACCTCTGGTCTCTTGTCCAAAGAGCTGTGGCCCGAGCCCATCACATGACCGATCCTCAGCTCTGCCTGGACGGACCGGGCTTCCAGGTGTCTCTGTAGCTCTGTGGCCTGGGCTGTGGCGGGAAGTGGACTTGGAGATACTGCTGAGACACTTCACTTTGTGCTCCCGTCACTGAGAGGTCCGGTTTCTTATCCCCTTTGAGTTTTGATGTCATCTGATGTAAGTGCTTTAGGGTCTGTCTCAGTCACATTGGGTAGTGACCTTGCCTAGAGAAGACTGTCACTTTTCATCTACTTGTTGTTTAAAAAGTGCTTTTCAGGGAGCGTTGGATTTCCGAGACCAGCAGACAGTAATGCAGGAGTGGACCGGCCCTGGGAAAGGCCGCTTCACTTTGGCATGAGCTCAGGGTTGTGTCTCCTACTGACTTTTCTGACTTCGGATGTTCAGTCAGACGGCCAAGTCGAGGGGCGGGGGGTGGTAGCCAGTCATTGCCCGTTGCTCTAGAGGTCACTGCAGGAGGGTGGACAGCTCGACCTGGGTTCTCGGTGGGGACGCCGGGGCGGCCTAGAGGCAGGTGAGGCTGCGCTGGAGTCTGGGCTCTGCCCTCGCTGTCTGGGGAAGCTGGCGGTTCCTTGTTTGGGCCCTAGTTTTCACCCAATTGATGGCATCGTCATAACTTTCCTGCAAAAACATTCTAAGCACCACGTGAAACAGTGGCATACAGGGGACTGAGCAGAGCCCTGACGTCTGGTGTGTGTTTGAGGAGTACGGGTCCCCAGCCTGCCTTGCCTCCCCGCTCCTCCCACCGAGCACAGTGGCGTGGTGTTTGCCGAGGTCGGGCACAGGGACCCAACCGCATCCTCAGCCCTGGTGCAGCAGAGGTACCCCGCAAATATTTGTCTAGTGAATATAACCTCTAATTTGGTAGTTGCCATGGACTACAGGGCAAAAATACAAAAAAACTGTACTGGAACAATGTGCTTGATTTGTCTTTTTTTTTTTTTTAATGCATCACTGCTTCTTCAGCCTTCAGGAAGATGTTTACAGATACTTCTCTGTTTTGTTTTTTTCAGTGCCTGAAACAGTATGTGGAGCTCTTGATCAAAGAAGGATTAGAAACTGCAATTAGCTGTCCAGATGCTGCCTGCCCCAAACAGGGCCACCTGCAGGAGAATGAGGCACGTATGGCTGGGGGAATCAGGGTGCATGTGCGGGGCCTCCCCAGTGAGTCAGGGATCCCAGGCTGTGTCCAGGATGACCTGGCATTGTGTTCTAGCCCTCAGATGGTTAGACTCCTTTTTCTTGTGTTTCTTCCCTTAGATTGAGTGCATGGTGGCGGCTGAAATTATGCAAAGATACAAAAAGCTACAGTTTGAAAGAGGTAGGTGCCCCAGTGTCGCAGCTGCTTATGACTCCGGTTATTGAATCTGGTGTATAAACTGGGTGGAGTGCTTTGGTGGATGCCACTGTGCATCATTTGGATGCACTGGACATGAAAACATTGATGTAAATTAGCCTTCTGAAGTTTGGCTGTATTTGAGTTTTCTGCAGAGCTCACAGTTGAATGGCCTCTGCTAGGGGGCGGGTCTAGTTGGTAGCAGGGAAGATCCATGGAACAGCTTGCTTCTAGGGATCTGGGATTATGGGGCTGGTTTAAAGAGTCCCTCATGGGGTGTTATTCTCCAGCCAGGTTAAGGCCTAACAGTCTGAGGACTAATTCTTAGGCCGTCACAGAATTTAAAAGATAGGAAGCCTTGGAAGGAAGTCCCAAGGTCAGGCAGGGTGGAATGGTGATGGTCATCACCCTGACCACAGGTCTGTTGCCCTCACTGTCTGCTGCACGCCGACGGGGCCAGTAGGTGCTGGGGTCTTGTCTCACCAAGCTTCACAGCAGCCCAACAGGGTTGCCTATTAGCCTGACACCCTCAGAGGCTAACTAATGTGCCCTGGTTTCCATCTCTGGTGGGTGGAAGGGCATGGACCAGGTCCCCCCCTCACCCCTGCAGTGTCCCACCCACTGCTCCTGGCTGGAGCCAGGCTGCTGCAGTGTTAAGACACATTGATTGTCTGGGATGGATCTTTGTCTTTGCTGTCTGAAATAGGCCATGTTCACGTGTGTGTGTGTGTGAGTCACTCAGCTATGTCTGACTCTGTGACCCCGTGGACTGTAGCCCGCCAGGCTCCTCTGTCCATGGGATTCTCCAGGCAAGAGTACTGGAGTGGGTTGCCATTTCCTTCTCCAGGGTGTCTCCCCGAGCCAGGGGTTGAACCCAGGTCTTCCACATTGCAGGCAGATTCTTTACCATCTGAGCCATCAGGGAAGCCCCACGCCGGATTCATAAGATGGCATTATTCTGTGGATTTTGTTTGATCTTGTTTTCATATCTTTTCTGGACCTCGGGCTCATCTGAAAAGAAGCAGAATAACAGACATGTGTAGACAACGCTCTGTATGTAAGACTTTATTGTGAAGATGCTGTATCTGGATTCTAAAATTTCCGGGTGGGTTATTGAGCAACTGCTGTCTGCGCCCCACTCTTCCTGGATGGGCTGTTAGTGGTCTCCTGAATCTGGCGTTCATGAGAGATGAGCACAACCCTGGGCATCGTGTTTCAGGAAAACACTGTCAGGATGGAATGCGGAATAGACCCGAGCAGTGTGTCCATAGACTCCTTGTTTAGCTGAATGTGGAAAGTTTTTTTCTCCTTTTTTTTTTTTTTAAAGAAATGCTAAAGATAGCTGCATTTCCTCTTGAGACTCACTTTTCAAGGCAAAAAAAAAAAGGTAATGTGTGGCCAACCTAAAAAAATTCATACAGGAGTTCTGATGACATTGAAATTTGTTTTCAAGTGCTTATTTATTGAAATGCCATATATTCTTTGGTTTGGGGCAGTTTATTGCTTAAATATATGGCCATGTGACACAAAAGTCGGTATGTAGAGCTATAAATTTGATTAATTTGGACTCCTGAGGCTGTGAGCCTCTTCTGAAAACATTTTCCAGAGGGAATTTTGACAGAAACTGGCAGTTATTTGGGTTAGAAGAAAATGAACTTTCTATGACATTGAATTTAAAAATGCAGCTGGGTAAATGTTCCTACCTAATAATTTTAACTGTTGTTATTTCTTCTGTACTTTGACTTAGTCAAAGAAGTTTTTTTTTTTTCTTTTGCATAGTAATGAACCCAATTTGACTTAGGTTAAAAAAATATCTCTCAAAGCTATCACTTTAGAATATTTTGCTAACGTTGTGTTCAAAGCAGCAAAAAAATACAAAAAGGACTTGGACTTAATAGGAGCAGAGACCTGTTTGAATGGAATATGAAAATGTTAGACCCGAAACAGAGCTATTAATTATAGCCAGTCACTGAGTAAAGGCACTGGTCATAGCAAACACCCTCTTCCAACAACACAGGAGAACACTCTACACATGGACATCACCAGAAGGTCAACACTGAAATCAGATTGATTTTATTCTTTGCAGCCAAAGATGGAGAAGCTCTATACAGTCAGCAAAAACAAGACCAGGAGCTGGCTGTGACTCAGATCATGAACTCCTTATTGCCAAATTCAGACTTAAATTGAAGAAAGTAGGGAAAGCCACTAGACCATTCAGGTATGACCTGAGTCAGATCCCTTACAATTATACAGGGTAAGTGAGAAAAAGATTCAAGGGATTAGATCTGATAGACAGAATGCCTGAAGATCTATGGGTGAAGGCTTTTGACATTGTACAGGAGGCAGTGATCATCCCCAAGAAAAAGAAATGAAAAGGCAAAATTGTTGTCTGAGGAGGCCTTACAAATAGCTGTGAAAAGAAGAGAAGCGAAAGACAAAGGAGGAAAGGAAAGATATACCCATCTGAATGCAGAGTTCCAAAGAATAGCAAGGAGAGATAAGAAAGCCTTCATCAGTGATCAATGCAAAGAGGTAGAGTTAAGCAATAGAATGGGAAAGACTCTATCTCTTCAAGAAAATTAGAAATAGCAAGGGAAAATTTCATGCAAAGATGGACACAATAAAGGACAGAAATTGTATGGACCTAACAGAAGCAGAAGATATTAAGAAGAGGTGGCAAGAATACACAGAAGAACTATACAAAGAAGATCTTCATGACCCAGATAACCATGATGGTGTGATCACTCACCTAGAGCCAGACATCCTGGAATGTGAAGTCAAGTGGGCCTTAGAAAGCATCACTGTGAACAAAGCTAGTGAACTACTGAGTTATTTCAGATCCTAAAAGATGATGCCATGAAAGTGCTGCACTCAATACGCCAGCAAATTTGGAAAACTCAGAAGTTGCCACAGGACTGGAAAAGGTCAGTTTCTATTCCAATCCCAAAGAAAGGCAATGCCAAGGAATGCTCAAACTGCCGCACAATTGCACTCATCTCACACACTAGCAATGTAATGCTCATAAATATCCAAGCTAGACTTCAACACTATGTGAACCGTGAACTTCCAGATGTTCAAGCTGGATTTAGAAAAGGCAGAGGAACCAGAGATCAAATTGTTGACATCCGTTGGGTCATCAAAAAGCAAGAGAGTTCCAGAAAAATATCTATTTTTGCTTTATTGACTATGTTAAAGCCTTTGACTGTGTGTATCACCACAAACTGTGGAAAATTCTTAAAGAGATGGAAATACCAGACCACCTGATCTGCCTCATGAGAAATCTGTATGCAGGTCAGGAAGCAACAGTTAGAACTGGACAGGGAACAACAGACTAGTTCCAAATCGGGAAAGGAGTACATCAAGGCTGTATATTGTCACCCTGCTTATTTAACTTATATGCAGAGTCCATCATGTGAAATGCTGGACTGGATGAAGCACAAGCTGGAATCAAGATTGCTGGGAGAAATATCAATAACCTCAGATATGCAGATGACACCACACCTATGGTAGAAAGCAAAGAAGAACTAAAGAGCCTCTTGATGAAAGTGAAAGAGGAGAATGAAAAAGTTGGCTTAAAACTCAGCATTCAGAACACTACAATCATGGCATCTGGTCCCATCACTTCATGGGAAATAGATGGGGAAACAGTGAGAGACTTTATTTTTTGGGGCTGCAAAATTACTGAAGATGGTGATTGTAGCCATGAAATTAAAAGACACTTGCTCCTTGGAATAAAAGTTATGACCAACCTAGACAGCATATTAAAAAGCAGATATGTTATTTTGCCAACAAAGGTCCTTTTAGTCAAAGCTATGATTTTTCCAGTAGTCATGTATGGATGTGAGAGTTGGACTATAAAGAAAGCTGAGGGCTGAAGAATTGATGCTTTTGAACTGTGGTGTTGGAGAAGACTCTTTAGAGTCCCTTGGATGACAAGGAGATCCAACCAGTCCATCCTAAAGGAGATCAGTCCTGAGTGTTCGTTGGAAGGACTGATGTTGAAGCTGAAACTCCAGTACTTTGGCCACCTGATGCAAAGAGCTGAACTCATTTGAAAAGAGCCTGATACTAGGAAAGATTGAAGGCGGGAGGAGAAAGGGACGCAGAGGATGAGATGGTTGGATGGCATCACCAACTCAACGAACATGAGTTTGAGTAAACTCTGGGAGTTGGTGGACAGGGAGGCCTGGCGTGCTACAGTCCATGGGGTCGCAAATTGTTGGACTCAACTGAGTGACTGAATTGGAACTGAACTGAGCAAATTCTAGATGGGATCTGTGAAGCAGGTTTCAATTTGCTCTCTCCCTTTGAAGTCACCTTCAAATGAGGATGGTGACTAGTGGAAAAGTGACAGTTTACATCATCTCCCCACAACATTTATTTACTTAAAAAGTGTTTTGGTCACAGTTCCAATACTGTCTCCATTTGTGCGTCTCATATCAGAGCCTTATTTTAACTTGAGCGTCCACACTCTTCCACCCAGGGTCCTTGAGGAGCAGGATGCTGGGAGGGAGATTCTGGGAGGAGGTCTTTCCTGAGCACTTCATCTGCCAGCTGTAAGACCCCCAAAGCTGGGAGCCACAGGCTCTCTGGGAAGGTCCATCACTTGCTCACATGCCCCATGGCATTCACAGGAGTTCCTCTTTGGACACTGACCGTGCCATGCTTCAGGGGTTACTTACATTTCGGGGCAGTGGGAGTGGAGCAGCATCAGAAGGGATGGAGGACACACTGCCCTGCACAGCATGCTTCTCAAAGGACAATTGTGTTTAAGAAAGAGGAACACCTTCTACAAGAGTCTTGGGCTTTTCGATGAGTAGGGCTGTTAGGGACTTACTTTATTTCTATTTATGTATCTATCTTTGAGAGGGGGAGCTAAGATTCGTCCCTTCCTCTTGTGCTCTGGCACACTTCTTGCTTTGTTTGACAATATATTATGTACAGATATGTGCATGTATGCATACTAGATACAATGTGTATAACATAACATATTGGCTATAATGTATCTAGTGTGTAGTGTATAGATGTGATCGTATACATATACTATACATAGTATATATAAATATATAGATGTGATCCTATACATATAGTATATATAAATATATAGATGTGATGGATAGATAAATAGGTCGATAGGCAGACAGACATTGATATGTATGATATACATCCTGGAAAGAAAAGCTGTGCTGTTGCCCAGTGTGGATCTTCCCGTTGGTCGGGTCCCATCTTGCACACCCAGCGGGCAGACTCCAGCAGCAGAGGGATCTTGTAGAATTTTAATAGACATCCGAGAGCAGAGCCGGGCTGTGCTCTCGGGGTGCGGGGTGCCGGCAGCACTAACGGAGGGGCTCTGAGCTGGCAGCTCAGTGGGGTGGGGTGTTTGCCCACCGTCTGCCGCAGGGACTCTCTCCCATGGGGATGGGCAGTGCCCTATCACAGCTCCAAGAGAACACAAGTCACACGATGCCAGTAGTTACCATGGAAACCCTAACTAGGTCTCCTCTCCTGCTCACCCCATCCTGTAATCAGGGCTACACGTGCAGAGCTGAGAGGAGTGACCGGGAGATGCTGCCCAGCGGTGAGAGGCAGCAAGAGACCTTGGGAAAGCCGGTCCCCTCCTCGTGGCACAGGCTGCTGAGAGCAGGAAGGGGGCGCCGTGGGGACGGGAAGGACCTGAAATGGGCAGTGGTGTCCTCTTAGGGGCTCAGGCGGACCCGCGCTGAAGACTCTGTCAAGTCAGCCAGGAAGCCGACCCAGCGGAGGATGTAGCTTATCTGCACGTGTCCTGCTGTCTTTGCAGGCTGAACGCCCGCATCCTGCAGTGCTGTCCTTGGGGGGCAGTGCCTGTGGGGAGCCCCGTGATGTAAGTGAGGCAGGTCCAGGCTCATCCAGCCCGGAGCCCAAACTGCTGGTAGAGAAATCCAGATGGGGGCAGGGGAGGGCCACCAGGTAAAAGGCACAGCACTCTGGGGGAGCAGCCTTTGGATTTCCTTCCCCCTCCCCACTGTGCCCCAGGCCACCCTTCATCCCTCCGTCCTTCTTTCTCCTGCCCCCTCAGCCCGGGAACCCACAGACCACTGTCCCCACACGCATGCATTTTCCCCAAAAAACCACCTCCTCAGATCTGACAGCCAGAAACAGTCTTATAAAAGCACTTTCAGCTCGTGACAAGACCTCATTTTACACATTCACTCACCACTGAGGCCTCAGGAAGATTTTACCTTATTATCATGAACATCGATGAGAAAGTATCACATTTTCCTGGATGCCAGAGTTCCTTTGTATTAGCAAGTCTTCTAAACCTTCTGGTGGACCTATCGGTTTGATAGTTTTTGTGCTATTGATTGTGCTCAGTCTCTTTAGTCGTATCCGACTCTTTGCAACCCTAGGGACAATAGCCCACCAGGCTCCTCTGTCTATGGGATTCTCTAGGCAAGATTACTAGAGTGGATTGTCATGCCCTCCTCTGGGCGCTCTTCCTGACTTAGGGATCAAACTTGGATCTGCCTGTATCTCTTGCGTTGCAGGCAGATTCTGTATCCACTGAGCCACCTGGGAAGCCCCTAGGTGCTATTGATTAATTCACCTTTTTAAAATAGGGTAGGAGTCAGCCAACCATGGCTGGTGGGCCAAATCTGCCTGGCCCCTGGCTTGGTGTTGTAGATAAAGTTTTATTGAAACACTCCTTTACAGATCAACACAGCTGCCTTTGTGCTACCAAAGTAGAGCTGAGTAGTTGGATGGAGACCTCGTGGCCGTAAAGACTGAAATACTCACTGTCAGAATTGGATGATAAGGTGGTTTTCAGTCTGTTGGTACCCGACAAGAACTTGAGGGTTGAATCTGGCTTCCAGTTCAGGGAACGTTGGCAAACACATGCCTGTTGAGGGGCAACCCAGCCTGCCTGCAGCCCATGACAGCCACAGCCTGCTGGGGGTCCCAGTGTCTACACGTTCTGTCTCTGATGTGGGTGAACCAGCCTGCTCCAGCATTGGCCAGTCACATGGCTGAGAAGAGCCTTTCTTTGCTTCTAGGTTCACAGTGAAATACAGTCCATTCCTTCTCAAGAGTGACCCTGGTAATAGCTTGCAAATCAGTGGCCGACTTGGAGTCCTTTGCAAACACCCTGTAATCCTTTGGCCTCCTTGCCTTTTGGCCTGGCATCAGCATCCATGTGGGTTCCGGTTGAGTGCTCCCTCCCGCTTCCCAGCACTCAGAGTCCAGTCACACTGGACAGAGGGCCCACGGGACCCATCATCAGGCTCACTGTGGTGGGCGGGACAGCTCAGGACCCTCTATTTAAAGAAACGTGAGATGTGGACGCAGATGTGAAATGTGAGTGTCACAGGGTCCTGTTTTTCAAAATCAGCTTTCTCACTAATTTCATTAAATCAGGCTCCACTTCAGAGGGAAAACCGGCTGTCGAAGAATGAATTTCACACAGTCCTTAGCTCAGGGCTCTGATGTGAATTTGGGATGGAAACCGTTGTAGGCAGATGCGCCCTTTGATGAGAAGAGCCAGCCATCTCCTTTTCGTCTTATCCTTCCGTCCTTACCCAACATTTAGGGGTGTCCACAGCACACCCCGCCTGAGGCTGTGAGCCTTCAGATGGGCTGCTGTGGCAACGCTGTGTCTCAGGGCAGGCAGGTGGGGGCAGGAGGCACTGGCTGGACCATGGGGTTTCCAGAATGGGGCTCCAGAACCTTGAGGACTCTGGGGGTACTTGGGGGTTTGCTCTCCCCCCACTCGAGTGGGCTGGGGAGTGGGGAGTGGCTGGAGGGAGGAGGGGCACCCAGGTGGGTCCCAGATCCTAAAGAGCATGTTATGTCTGACCTTGATTTTCTTTTCTCCCTTAAATACGAGAAGCTGTGTGCTGACGTGTCCATCTGTCCTAAGCCCCATCAGTTCCCTGGTCCTGCAGACTCTGACTCGCCCGTTTTTTCTCTTTGTGTCAGAGGTGCTCCTGGACCCCTGTCGGACTTGGTGTCCAGCGTCTACCTGCCAGGCAGTGTGCCAGCTCCAGGAGATGGGGCTGCACACCCCCCAGCTGGTCCAGTGCAAAGCCTGTGACACGGAGTTCTGCTCTGCCTGCAAAGCCAGCTGGCACCCCGGCCAGGGTTGCCCGGAGACCACGCCCATCACCTTCCTTCCCGGGGAGACCAGGTACCTTCCAGCGTGTCTTTCCTGGTCACCTTGTACTAATGAATGAAACAGAACCTGTTGAACTGGTGCACGCCTCACAGTGCAAGGGTCTCAAACTTAGGAAGACCCCAAGGGTATAATCGTTTGGTGGTGGTGGTGGTTTAGTCACTGCGTCCGACTCTTTTGCGACCTCATGGACTGTATTCTGCCAGGCTCCTCTGTCCATGGGATTTCACAGGCAAGAATCCTGGAGTGGGTTGCCATTTCCTTTTTCAGGGGATCTTCCTGACCCAGGGATCAAACCTGCGTCTCCTGCATTGCAGGTGGTCTCCTGTGTTGCAGGCAGAGGCTTTACTGCCACGCCACCAGGGAAACTTGTGTAATTGTTTGGAAGCTCATCGGTCCTCAGATAACCTTGTAAAGTGATGACGTATTTAACCCTTACAGTCACTATGATGCTTGTGGAAGGTCCTACAGTCAGAATGCATTCAAAATGCCAGAATTGACTCTCAATTTCAGTGAATCTCTACTCATGAATGCTTTAGGTTCTGCACAGTCTGCTCAGTTCTGTGGGGAATCACGTTCCCCTTGGTAAATGCCGTGGGTTCATACGATGTAGCGAATTCACCCCATAATTGGTGAATTTGAACCACTTCTTCAGATGACTCTGTGCATTTTCAGCTGACATGAAATTTAACAGCATGGGCTGGGTGTCCTTCTACAGTTAAACCTAGAAAGATACCTAGCTTGTCATTTTGTGAGCAGCATAGAACCCTCGCTGCCACTCACTGGGCACTTCATACAGGCTTGCCCTGCCCAGGGCCCTTCATGCATAATCCCATCTGCCACACTCATACCAACCAGAAGCTGGGGCTCAGAGAGGTTGCCAGCCAGCCCGTGCACAGAAGAGCCACACTCAAGCTCAGGCTTCAGCCCGTCCACACTCACCCCCATGACCTGCCCAGCCCTCTCAAGAAAACGATTTTGTACAGACGTCAAGTAGATCTAAGTAAGTGATTAGCATGTGTGTGTTTTTGACATTTCTTCCCCTTGATAATAACAAAAAGCATATCATGTATTATCAACCTTTTGGAAACTATACGAACATATGAATAAGGACATGAAATTTGACCATAATCCCATCACTCAGAGACCTCCCTTCTAAGCCTCTGCCCTGTTTTTCTTTGGTTTGTCTGTACACATCTAAATTTAGATCTGTGCTGACCTTGCTCATTCTTCCCCCCACCGTTGCTGATTCATTTTTTTTTAAATTTTTTTGGTGATTATTTTCCAGAGTTTGAGATTCTTTGGTTTTGACTTATTTCACTTAATAGCAGGTGACCTCATAACAACCCACTCCAGTATTCTTGTTTGGGAAGTCCCGTGGACAGAGGGGCCTGGCGGGCAGCAGTCCCTGGGGTCTTAGAAGGTTGGACATGACTGAGCACACACACAACCTCAGCCCCTCTAGTTGAGCTCGTGATTGTGGGGCAGCCCCTGCCAGCAGGTCACCCCGGAGCCTCCTTGCAGAGCCTGACAGGGTCTTTCCCGCTTTAGCTCCACTTTCAAGCTGGACGAGGATGATGCGCCCATCAAGCGCTGCCCCAAGTGCAAAGTCTACATTGAGCGGGACGAAGGCTGTGCCCAGATGATGTGTAAGAACTGCAAACACGCCTTCTGCTGGTACTGCCTCGAGTCCCTGGATGTGAGTACCAGTTGGGGCGGGGGGCTTCGTGGGGTGGGCCAGGCTGAGCAGGAGGTGTGGCCCAGCCACTGCACGGTGACTCAGGGGATGCGCCTGGGCCACAGAAGTCATGCCGACATGTGTTCATTCTGTGCCTGTGAAAATAAGAGCTCATAGGATGCAGTGGTGTCAAAAGACGGGAGTTGGTACAAGACCTCTGAGAGCGCAGGGTGGGCTTCAGCCTGGGTTTTCAGGGAGTGGGTAGATCTCAGCATCTTAGGTTTCTGACTGTGAAGCTGTCTTAGCTTAGGCTGCTGAAACAGAATCATCCCCGCCATCAGGGAGCTGAAACTGGTTGCTGATCTCTTGGTTGTGGGGGCTGTACGTCTGAGTGCCGGTGGGCGTGGGTTCGGGACCCTCTTCCTGGTGTACAGGCGCCCGCCTTCCTGCTGTGGCCTCACCTGGCAGAGAAAGGACCCTCTGGACCCTTTCCTTTTCTTGCAAGGACACAAATTCCATCATGGGCGCTGCAGCCTCGTGACTTCATCTGAACCTGATCACCTCCCAGAGGCCGCACTTTCAAATCCCATCACACTGGGCATTAGGGCTTCCTCATAGGAGCTGTGGGTGGTGGGGGGGAACACAAGCAATCCATCGCAGGGACCATTCTTGGAAGAGCAAGGATGAGAGGGCCGCGGATGCCCGGGATGGAGCAGTTGCTTCAGTGACAGTCGTGTCGCCTGCAGGGCCGAGGAGCATACGGACCCTCTGCTGTCTGTCCTCACACGGCCACCTTCTCACAGGTGTACCTCGTGATGTTTGTCTCACAGAGAGATCCTGCAAGGGCACCATGCCTGCCCCATCTCAAATCCCTGCCTTTGCTGGAACTCCCAGGCCTAAGGCAGACCATACTTCTTTCCAGCTTCCTGTTCACGTTCTCACCTGTATCAGGAATAGGCATCTTGCTGACGTGATGACATTATGACTCCAATTTTATAAGAGTTTATTTGTACATCTGTTTCTAAAGTGTGTTATTGGCTTAGTCACATCTGACTCTTTGTGACCTCATGGACTATGGCTTCTGGAGAATGGGATTCTCCATGCCAGAATTCTGGAGTGGGTTTCCATTCCCTTCTCCAAGGGATCTTCCTGACCCAGGGATCGAACCCGGGTCTCTCGCATTGCAGGCAGATCCTTTACCATCTGAGCCACCTATGATCAAATAGAACTAATCATCTATTAAAATGATTGTAGTTGGTGACAGTCAAAGCCTATTGAAGCATATGTCATAAAGGGATGGCTTTATATTTATCTGTCCTTACAGCGAAGGTGTGTCTGGGATGGACCCAGCCCATCCCATAATAGTATTAAGATTTAATTAGAATAAAAGGAGGTCAGAACGGCCCCGTGTTTACCTTAATGGGAGCTCACCTGTCTGACAGCCGCTCCTTCTCATCCTGTCCGTCTGCAGTCAGAGCATCATGTCTGGGTGAGTCTCCTATTGAGAGGTTATTGCAGGTGATTCAGCTTTATATATCCTTGCAGAGAAGGGTCAACTTGGGCCGCACAGGAGAAGGAGAAAGAATTCCTAACAGTGTGCAAAGTGGGAGAACTTTGAAAGTTTACCTGTTCCAAGATGGACAGGTCTAGAGACTGTCAAGAAGAAAATGAATGTCTGTTTGAGATGGACGCTTGAATAAGCTAACAGGTCTGTAATTCAAAGGCCACCTATAAAAATATTATACAGATTGCTTCTTTGTGGTTTTTCCTTTTGAAAACCCTGTTGCCCCTTTGTTAACTTTAAGTCACTAAAGGTATAGGAGATCTTTGTGTAACTGAACAAATCTGGGGAGTATATTGCCATCTTTCTGTCCTGGAGGTTTCCTTTCCCTTTCCTAAGCAAGTTTAATAAGTCACTTTGGCAAGGTTAATTTTCTTTAACTTAAAACCAATAATAGGTTTGTTCACTGACTTCATGCAATGGGAAGGGGATATTTAGAATGATATCTGAAGCATTACCAAGTCCTTATGGTCTTCAAAGTCTATATGTATATGGTTTCTCTATGTATCATATATATATATATATATGTATATAGGGCTTCCCTGATAGCTCAGTTGTGGAGAATCTGCCTGCAATGCACAAGAACTGGGGTCGGTCCTTGGGTCAGGAAGATCCCTTTAGAAGGGAATGGATACCCACTCCAGTACTCTTCCCTGGAGAATTCCATGGACAGAGGAGCCTGAAAGGCTTACAGTCCATAGGGTTGCAAAGAGCCAGACATGACTTAGCGACAAACACTTTTCAGTCTATACATAGTCTTTCTATATATTGGAAAGATCCCCTGGAGGAAGACATGGCAACCAACTCCAGTATTCTGGCCTGGAGAATCTTATGGACAAGGAAACCTGGCGGGCTACAGTCCACGGGGTCACAAAGAGTCAAACATGATTGAAGCAACTTAGCACATAGTCTTCTATATTATATAATTCTGTATATACTCTATATATATCATACATAGTCTCTCTATATTATTTAAATATATGATATATAATTTTACACTTCACTGTATTTTTTTTTTTGAAAACTGATCATTATTATATTATCTACTCTCTGCCCTGCAATTTCCCAATTCCTTATCAACTTTTCCTAAAAGGGAAAGGAAGTGAAACACTGGTTTTAACTACACATTATCAAACCTCCCAGTGGATTCTGGGGGGAAGTATTAGACGTGGACAGATACAGAGCCGGACTTCCAGAGAGACCATAGCTTTGCTGTGACCTCTCCTGCGACCTTGACATCCTCTCGGCCTGTCTCCCTTGAGCCCAAAGCTGTTCTGTCTCTGCTCTGGTCTCTGGAGAGACACCTTGTCTGTCCGTCCATGCGTCCATCGGACTCAGTTCTAAAGCACAGTTCCTGCCAGCTAGAGGTCCCATTGTTTTCAGGCTCCCAGGGACCAAGGCAGCAATTTCCTCCTCGACAGCCGGCATCCTCGAGACTAGGAGTGTCCTGCTTTTCTCTGTGGATGAGCAGCTGCTGCCTGTGACCCTGTGGCCACAGAAAGCAGATCCTGAAGGACAGGGAGTCTGCTCTGGGGCAGTCAATCAAGGACAGTAGCCGGGACTCTAAGTAAGTGTGTGAACCAGGTCTGGAAGCAACAGCTCGTCCGGAGCGGAGACGGGGCTGGCAGGTCTCCCGTCCCTCCCGGGGAATTTTCCTTCCCTGCACCAGCTCCTGAGCACCCATGTGCCTCACGGAGTTACCCCTCATCTTCCGCCACTGCCTTCCATCCTGGTCCTCACCCGCCCACCCAGCTGGGCCGGGCCCCCAGTCCTCCAGGGGAGGCCCTGGACCACACCCGCTCATCTGCTGCACTGCTGGCCCCGCAGTCACTACTTACAGTCGGGGGACCCACTCACTTTCTTTCTTTTGGGGGCAAGTGAATCGTTACTATGTATGAAGTGCAGCCTCTGTGCTTTGCTCTGCATACCTCTGTTGCTTCATCCAGCCATGCCCAACCTTTTTGGCTCCAGCGACCAGTTTCGTGGAAGATGGTTTTTCCATGCACGGTGGTGGGAGGGTGGATGGTTTGGGGATGATTCAAGGGCATTACATTTATCATGCACTTTATGATTATTGCATCAGCTCCTCTGTAGATCATTAGGCATCAGATTCTGGTGTGAGAGGTGGAATGATTATTTGCTATTTTTAAGAAGCCCACGAAGGTTAGTGATCGTTTCCCAAAGCCCCAAAAGAGTGAGGAACAGACCCAGCATCCATTCTCTGGTCTCTCAGACTCCAAACCCCAGCACGTGGGTTAGACTGGCCTCTGTCAGGCAGGCCCGACTCAGTGGGACAGGAAGTCTCAGGCCTTCCGTGGTGGGGCTGCTCTGAGTTCACTCATTCATCTCTGAGCATCTGGCTGCTGAGCTCTATTGCCAGCTCCATTGTTTCTGCATTCACCCAGGAGCTTGATGCGGCTCCTCTGGACAATGTGAAGGAAATGTTCACGCTCACCACCCACCTGGGTTCCTGGCAGGCCCTGCAGTGGTTATTCCCCAGGCCTTCATTCAGGAACTTAGGGTCACAATGAAATCACTGTTACATTGTGAAAGCATCTTCCAGCGCTTTTGTCAGGGGGAAAGCTTTCGTTTCGTTCAGGAAACGTGCCGTGAGCGTCAACAGCCCCGCTCTGCATGAAGGGGGGACTGCCAAGTTGAGGCTGGCAGAGTCCGTGACCCCGAGGAGTTGGTGGTCCCCGGGTCGAGAAGCCCCTGGTATCACTAGGTCCCTGTGGGTGGTGCTGCAAGACAGTGCGTGTGGGGTCTCCGGCAGGCCCTCCGGGGGTGGGGGTCGGTCCCTGGGTCAAGGGGCATTGAGGGTGTGGGCATAGCTGATGGAGAGTTCACTGACCAGGCAGAGGGCAGAGTGTGGGAGGCGGGCCACCTCCAGGGAAGAGGATGTAGTGAGGAAGGACATGAGCTGTACGTGGCCTGGGCCTGGCTGAGGTGGGGGCTGTGATCGGGGTCTCCGGGCCGAGATGGAGGTTGACCTCCACCACAGGGGCTCATGGCCCCCAAGCACTGGTCCATGGCAGGTTGATGAAGCTCACACGGGGCGTCTATAACCCGGGCCCACCCTGGACCCGGAGTCAGGAGCTGCGGCCCCCGAGGGCTCCCGGTGACTGTAACGAGCAACAGGGTTTGTGCAGCTTTGCCGGAGGAGATCCCTGCAGATATTGCAGCTGGGCGAGACAGCACAGTTCGCCTTGTGTTTCAGAAGACAAATCCCAACAGTATCCACAAGCCTCCGGAGCAAGACTCTGTGAAGAGCAGCCTGGCAAAATGAGACCCCGGGTGAAAAGTTAACCTCCGTGGTATGTGAGTGGAAGAAAATAGAACGAGGAGTTCAAGGAAGAGACAGTGCCCAGTGGACACAAGTCATTAGAAACGGCTTTGAGAAGACATCCCTGGCTGGCCGAGCCGTGTAGTCATCTCCGCCCGTGTTCTCCTGGACGGCTGAGGGGCTGGGACTGGGGGGTAAGGTGACGGGGCAGGCTGGGACCGCCCACCTCCCTGGAAGGCATCTCACTACCACCCCCTGAAACCAGAATTTCCTGCTGCTCCAGGGCCCATTCAGACTCCAGGAGGCTGACCTCTGAGGTCATCAGACTGGATGCCGGCGGTTCCCAGGACCAGAGGAGGGCTCCCGGGCAGTGCCACCCGTGGGGATGCTAAGGGACACCACCGTGACCAGCTCTGCCCAGCTCCAAGAGGAATGGCTTCCTGTCTCAGACACGCTGGCCCAGGCTTATTTGCTCTTCTCTCAGAGAGGTGTTCTGTTCACACTCTCGGTTGCATGAAGAAACAGCATGGGCCTCCCTTCTGTGCTGCTTGCTGAGCTGGTTCTTCTTGTGGGTGATAGGAGAGAAAACAGCCCCTCCTGTGAACGGAGGAGCAGAGGGGTTTGTGCAGAAAACAGCCTCCTGCACCTCGGTTCCTGCTTGCTGAAGTCTGGGTGCCAAGCTCCGAGCCGGCGATGTAGTTACCGAGGCTGACGTTGCTTCAGGGGCCTGACTCCAGGAGGCCCTGCTGGTCTGGTGAAGACTCCCAGGTGATTGGAGGTGGTGGTGGGGGTGGGTGGGTAGGACGTTTCCGCCAAATCAGAAGGGAGCCTCCTCTCCGTTCTAGATAGTCGGGGGGCACTGTGGACGGAAGACTGGTCTCCAGCCAGCTCTTGAGCCGTGAGAATGTTTTCTGGACTGAGAGGAGAAGAAGCACTTTCTGAGTGAAAAGGCTGGCGCTGGAGGCCACAGATGGACCGTACACACACCGGGAGTCATCTCATCTGGGAGTAATTCTGCCAGGGCGGCAGGAAGCCGGGAAGGCAGGGACTCCAGGGAAGAAAGCTCAGCCCTGGGTCTGCTGGCGGCTCCTGGAGTGGCCCAGCCTCTGACCTACTTCTTCAGAAGCCCTGCATCAGCGCGGATTCCTGAAGCCGGAGCCAGGCTTGGACCAGGGCCGAGGTGGGAGCAGGGCTCCCTCTCGTGGCCTGTGAGCCTTTGGTCACGGACGATGGAGGCGGGCCAGGAGGCCAGGTTGACCGCAGCCCCTTCTGTGAACTTGCTTCCTCTGCTGTTGTCCGTGTTCCCTCATTTTGAGTGTTTTTTTTTTTTTTTTCATTTAACAATAAGGTTTATTTGGAATGCTGCTGCTGCTGCTAAGTCGCTTCAGTCGTGTCCAACTCTGTGCGACCCCATAGACGGCAGCCACCAGGCTGCTCTGTCCCTGGGATTCTCCAGGCAAGAACACTGGAGTGGGTTGCCATTTCCTCCTCCATTATTTGGAATAACTTTCTTTAATAATTCTACATTTTTATTCTGGGGAATGCGCAGGTATAGACAAGACGGTTTTTACCATTTATTGAAAAGGTGTAGTCTTTGTAGTAATTTTTGTATTAGTTAGTTTTTTGTATTAGTTTTTGTATTAATTAGTTCTGTTTTAATAATTCTACATTTTTATTCTGGGGAATGCACAGGTATAGACAACACAGTCTTTACCATTTATTGATTTAAACGTGTAGTCTTTGCAATGATTTTTGTAGTATTTTTTTGGTAGTTTTGTATTAATTAGTTTTTTGTATTCATTTTTATATTAATTAATTTTTTGTATTCATTTTTGTATTAATTAATTTTTGTATTCATTTTTGTATTAATTAGTCTCTGTATTAATTCAAAAAGATAAGCCTCTTCTTTCCTGTAAAGAATTCTCACCGCACTTGAACTGAGACTCTGGAGCACTCAGCAGAGAGGAGTCTGGGATGGCCAGCCAGAATCAGTCAGTCGGTTTTCTTTCTTCTCAATCAGATACCTGAGATAGGAACTCTAGTTCTAAATATTAGGAAAGGAAAGAGAGGGAATATGGGAATATGACAGACTGCTGCAAACCTCGGGAGCAGCCGGGACGCGCTGAGCGGAGCGTGCTGTCCCATGCCCCTCTGTTCTTTCTCTCCCTCCGCAGGACGACTTCCTCCTGATCCATTATGATAAAGGGCCCTGCAGGAACAAGCTGGGCCACTCCAGGGCGTCTGTCATCTGGCATCGGACACAGGTAGGAGGCGGCGCGCCTGGGGTTTTGATCTCGGGGACAGAGCCATAGAGAGAGAGAGAGAAACAGGACCTGTGTGTGTCATTTACAGGAGACTTGCCAGCTGGTCAAAGATCTCTCATATAGAAAAACAGCTAGTAAATGCGGTAGCTGCCAGAGTTTTTCCTGGACCGATATTATGCTTTCGGTAGGCCTGCCTAACATGAATGGTGCTGGTGGTGGTTTAGTCGCTAAGTTGTGTCCAACTCTTGCGACCCCATGGACTGTAGCCTTCCAGGTTCCTCTGTTCATAGGAGTCTCCAGGCAGGAATACTGGAGTAGGTTGCCATTTTCTTCTCCAGGGGATCTTCCCGACCGAGGAATCAAACCCAGGTCTCCTGCATTGCAGGCAGATTCTTTACCTAACATGAATACGCCACACGTTTTAGCACGCGGTGGTTCTTCAACATCAGCCATCCAGTTGCTTGTGCCAACTCCCGGCCTTGGTCATGGCCCGCTGTGTGTGGTCCATCCTTGCTGACTCTTATTGAAGAGCTTCCCACAGAGGCCCCCGGGTGAGTGCGTTAGTCACAGGGAAGGATAAGAGGGAAGGGATGGAAAGGTCCTCACACGGTGATGTCTATGCAGCCGGTCGGTGGGGTTATTCATACTTTCAGCAGATGTTTATTTCCTCGTGTGTGCCTGGCACTGTTCAAGAGTTGGAAACACTCTGGTGAAGGAGATCGATGGATCTTTCTCTTATGGCCCTGCATCTCCTGTAGGGACAGTGAACCAGGAGCAGCATATGGTGTGAATTCAGCTGTAGGGGAGGGGTGATTGGGAGGGGTCTTTAGATGGTGCGGCCTGGAAGGCTTCTTAGAGGTGATGCCTATGGCCAAGGACTGAGTGATGGGGAGCTTTTGGTGGGAGTAGGTGGGACAGGGCAGAGGGGACTGTCCAGCCAGAGGAGGGACAGTTCATATAGGGGGACAGAGTTGGGCTGAAGGGCAGAATATGGCGTGGACGTCCATGCGGACAGAGCAGGAGGAGGCAGCAGTGGTCAGAGGTGATCAGGGTGGACACCATGGGCATTGCAGGCCATGGTATGATGCTCAGCTGTGCTGCGGGCCTGGAGGGAAGTCCCTGGGGGGACCGGCAGGCAGGCCTCAGTGCACGCCAGCTTCTGGGGTAGGGAAGAGCCTCGGTGGGCTCCAGCCCTGTTCTCTGGCACATCTCAGCACAGCCCCGAGGCAGGCCGTCTGGGAGACGCAGGAACCGAGTCTCAGGCGGTTTCCTAGGAACAGAGACAGGCTGCCTGTAACTGTGCTTCTCCCGTGATCCCCACTGCAGACCCTGTGGCAGGGCCGATGGATCCCCGGCCGGCCGACGGTAGACAGTTTGGCTTTGCAACTGTCCTCTCTGCCTGGTGGGGAGGCCAGTGCTGCAGACAGTATGTCAGCAAAGGCCCGTGGCTGCATTCCAGGAAATCACTTTTAAAAAGCAAGGGGTGGCATTGACTGGGGTGCAAGTTGAGCAACTGAGTGCACTAAAACCCATAAATTGGGCATTAAGTGGCTGCGTTGTAAGGTGTGTAAGTTACAGCTCCATAAAGTTGTAAGAAGAAAACAAAGCACAGTGGACTGTGAACTCCATCCGGCCCGAGAGCCAGTCTGCTGACCTTGGTGTGAGAGCGGATTTGAGCTGCATTTTACTTTGCCTTTTGGGCCGGCACGGCCAGCTCCAGGGCTCCCCCGCCCCCTTTATGCTGGAACAAAACACTGAACAACAGAAACCGATTCTCCCACAGTTCAAGAGGCCAGGAGGCTGAAGTCGAGGTGTGGGCAGGGCCTCTCTCCCTTGGAACCTATAGGAGGCTCCCCCTGCCTCCTCCAGCTCCAGGTGGGGCCCTGTGACCCTGGCTTCTCGGTTCACAGGTGTGTCCCTCTGGCACTTCACCTTGTCTCTGCGTCCAGACGTCCCTCTTGGTGAAGACACTGGTTGTAATGGATTAGGGTCCATCCTGGGAATGTCATCTCAACCTGATTCCCTCTGTAAAGAACTGAAGAGCCTCTTGATGAAAGTGAAAGAGGGGAGTGAAAAGGCTGGCTTAAAACTCAACAGTCAAAAAACTTAAGATCATGGCTTCCGGTCCCCTCCCTTCATGGCAAATAGATGAGGAGAAGGTGGAAACAGCGATACATTTTATTTTCTTGGGCTCCAAAATCCCTTTAGAGACTCTTGGACAGCAAGAAGATCCACCCAGTCCATCCTAAAGGAAATCAACCCTGAATATTCACTGGAAGAACTGATGCTGAAACCCCAATACTTTGGCCACCTGATGTGAAGAGCTGACTCATTTTAAAAGACCCTGATTCTGAGGTAGATTGAAAGCGGGAGGAGAAGGGGACAACAGAGGAACGAGGTGGTTGGATAGCATCACTGACTCTATGGACATGAGTTTGAGCAGGCTCTGGGAGTTAGTGATGGACAGGAAAGCCTGGCGTGCTGCATTCCATAGGGTTGCAAAGAGTCAGACTGAAAACAACAACAGCAATCTCCGTAAAGACCCTGTTTCCAAACAAGGAGCTGTTTTCTCTCCTTCCCATGTCTTCATGTGGCTGGAGCCACAGCGAGCTTCCCAGGAGCGCCTGAGCGCTGGTGGAGACTATCACCCTGTCTGATGGCAAGGTTGGGCTGTGTGGTCACACCTCAAACCTCATGCCGTTCATTCTCAGGAGTGAGCCTCGTGTTTCCGGGGTCGTAAGTGGCGCTGGTAACAGGCATTTGCAGAACAGGCCCCGAAGAAATGCAGACACTTGGACAGGGCTTCCTGGCCTCCACCGTTGTTGAGGAAGAAGGCTGTGGACGCCTCCCACCAGCTCCTCTTGGCCTCGTCAGTCAGCACCTTCGAGGGGCAAATGCTCAGCGCAAGCTCTGAGCCACCCCTGGAGCCACGTGGATGAGGGATGCGCCCCTGATCTAAGGCCCCTCTCAGTGCTGGTGAGGTTGAGCAGAGGCACCTTCAGGCAGGCTGCCGGCCCTCTGAACTCATCCATCCCCTGCCTTGAGGCACACACACGCGCAGCCAGTGTTCTGAGAATTGTTGTCAGCTGGCCATGGGCCGGGGGCGTGGGGCGGGCTACACTGTACTTTTGGTCTCTTCTGCGGTGTCAACTCTCCTGGGATAGCCATTTCAAGCTGCCAAGGTGATGCCATTGCATGGAGAGCTGGGAAGAGACGTCGGAGCAGCCCCCTGTATCCCCAGACACAGCCTCTCTGACCTGAGCTCCGAGCACTCAGGCCACGTTCAGTGCCGGGTTTCAATGGACGTAATGTTCTGATTGTTTCACCACCGCTTTGACTTGGCTTACTGCTACCAAGCCCTGGAGTTGTGTTGAAGAACTCTCTCTAGGGGAGAGGACTCAGAACCTCCCAGACTCCACTGGACTGATTCATCCTATACACACATATTGGACATTTGTGAAGGCAGAGACTCTGGGCCGTGCTTGAGGGCTGGTGATGGTTACACAGACCAGGCTCTGCCCTGATGAGTGGGTGCTTTCAGAAACAGTCTGAGTGGGTAACCGCTCCTTTAAATCAGGGTTTGCCTGGGGTGAAGGGTCCTTGTTTCATGTGATTCCCTCTTAATCCTCTGTCCCCACAGTATATCATTTCTGCCTGACTTGTTTATAAGATGGTCACTGAGGGATGATTTTTGTTGTGAGATATTTTGCTCCCTGTCTCATTCTTTTCTGTCGGCTGACTTCCCTTCTGACTATACCTGTTTTCTCCTTTTATATGGAAGTGGGTCCTGGCTGCTCACTGCTCAAAAGCCAATAAAGAGACCAGGTTGGTTGGAAAGAAAGTTTGCTTTATTTTGGAAGCTGGCAATAGGGTGGGCTGGGAGGGCGAAGGGTGGACCCCTGTCCAAAAGCTGACTTTCCCACCACTCTCGGCAGTCAGAGGACAAGAGCTTTTATAGACAGAAGGAGGGGGCAGAAACAGCACAGTCAGCTGTCTGTCACCTTCACATTGGTCATCGGTGGTCTGACCAGTGTCATCTTGATTGTTTTAAGTACAGTTAATCTTTAGTTCCAGGGTTGGTTTGTCCCCATCTCCTTGAGGACAGTTGTCAGAACTGTGGCAGCTCGTGTCGTGACTGCAGTCTGATCATCATGTAATTAACACCTCCACCAGGTGAGGGGTTCACTATCTACAAGACAGCTCACAGGACACGGCTCCGAATATTATCTCTAGCCCTTGAGGAGGAACTGAAAGTCCTTGACTTCGCTTAATGACTTAAACTGTTGTTATTTGGTCTCCTTTTATTGTCTGCCTTTGTTTCTGCGTATTCTCACTTCTCTGATCAAACTTGTTCTTTGCCTCAAGTATTTCCGCAGACGAAAGGCAGAAGAGGACATAGGGCGGGAGCAAGGACCTTAGGGTCCTGCTTTGTTTCACTGTCACCAGTTGGGAACAATGGGGTATGGCTGGTTCCACAGCATGCCGAGAATGAGACAAGGTAGACAGCGAAAGCGAAGGTGTCTTATTGACCAAGGATGTGAGCATCTGCTCAAGGGTTTCGGTCTGTTTTTGATGCAAGAGTCCCTGGCTCCCTGGAGAATGAGAGTGTGTTCCCAGTGGCCGAGGTTGTTCAAGCTGCCCTGCAGATCAGCGATGCCTTCCTGTGGGTTTTTATGTATTCTGAAATAGCCGTGTGCGTGGTTTTATCAGAGTGTGATCTGAATTCAGACCTCACAATTGCACCACTGACGTTAAGTTCAGACAAGTGGACTTAGCCAGCTCGTCAGAAAGCCTGGACTCACACAGTCTAATTTATAAACACCATATGATGTGTGTATGTGTGTGTGTGTGTATATGTGTGTGTGCAGGTGTATGCATGTGCCTGTGACAGTCTTCAGGTAAAATCAAAAGTCAAGGGACACTTTCGTTCACCCCTCTGTGGTGCTGTAGCATATTATCATATTTCAGAGCTGATACTAACCCTCAGAGATGTTTTACTTCATTTGTTTATTTTATCATTGAGAACTGCTTCCTAGGTGGTGCTAGTGGTAAAGAACCTGCCTGCCAAGGCAGGAGACATAAGAGACACGGGTTCGATTCCTGGGTCGAGAAGATCCCCCTGAAGGAGGAAATGGCAGCCCACTCCAGTATTCTTGCCTGGAGAATCTCCACGGATAGGGGAGCCTGGTGGGCTTGAGTCCATGGGGTCGCAAAGAGTCGGACACAACTGAAGTGACTTAGCAGGAAACCCAGAGAGGTGAACACACTGAGTCAGAATTAGAACCGCGAGCTCCGGGATTTGCATATTTATCGCTCTGAACACTAGGTGGCAGATAAACTCCACCTTCAGTTCAGATTCTGATTCTGGCTGTAGGAGCTGATGGAGGGAGCCAGGTAAGGGGCAACTTCCCAACTTCTTTGTCCAGCTTCCTTCCCTAATTTGAATGACAGCATGTGTACACTTGAGGCTTATTTCCTTTGGTATGTACTCATCCCTAGGGGTAAATGTATGTGCTAAACCAAATCAAAATTGGTAACAGTACATGTTGGACTTTAAACTCCAGGAATAACACAGGTCTTGTTCAGTCACTCAGTCGTGTCTGACTCTTGGTGACCCCATGGACTGCAGCACGCCAGGCTCCCCTGTCCTTCACTATCTCCTGGAGTTTGCTCAAACTTATGTTCACTGAGTCGGTGATGCCACATGGTTTCTGGTTACTCCCTCATGCACCTGTGTATGCCTTTCTGCTCTCCCACATGGAGTGCCTTATCGCAGGCATTCCTGTTTACCACCCATCTCCTCGTAAGCCTTTTATAATCTCAACCGTTTCCCGTTGCACACTCTCCTGCCCATGGCTCATGTACGTGTCCGGCTCCGGGTTTCCTTTACACCCGGAACCTGATAGCAGTTTTTGTAAACTGTATTATTTTCAGCTGTAATCACGCTGTCTTTCCACCAGCCTGGGTGGTAGCTGAGAGCCAAGGTCTCCTGTGCCTTTGTGTTTGCAGCACCTAATACAGTGTTGGTCTCAGAGGATGCTTGATGGCTAATTGAATCTATTATTGAATGGATGTCTGGTTACTTTGATGAAAGAAGGGATAGGGAAAGGAAGAAAAAAGGGGGAAAGAGAGGGAGAATGAAAGGAAGGAAGTGAAGGGGAAGAACTATGGGCAGATGGATGGATGGGTGAGTGGATGATGGATAGATGGATGGTGGGTAGATGATGAGTGGGTGAATAAATGGGTTGATGGATGCATGGATGAATGATACAGGTTGTAGATAGATGGATAGATGGATGGACAAGTGGAAGGAAAAATGATGGATGTATGGAAAGACAGATGGATGTTGTGTGTATAATGGATGGATGGATGGATGAGTGGATGCATGGACGGATGGCTGGATAGATGGTGGATATACATGGGTGGATGATGGATAGATGGGTGGCTACAGGTGAATGTATACATGTATGTATAGATGGATGGATGGATAGATGGATAGATGAATGGATATAGGTGGATACAGGTGGGTGGATGGATGGATAGATGGATATAGGTGGGTGGATGGATGGATAGATGGATATAGGTGGGTGGATGGATGGATAGATGGATATAGGTGGGTGGATGGATGGAGAGATGGATATAGGTGGGTGGATGGGTGGCTGGGTAGGTGGGTGATGGCTGAGTGGGTGGCTGTGCGGCTCGTACTTAAGCTGTGGAACCTATAGACCAGCCCCCTTACCCTCTGCTCCTGTCTCCTTCTCGCAGGTCGTGGGCATCTTTGCTGGATTTGGGCTCCTGCTCCTGGTGGCTTCCCCTTTCCTGCTCCTGGCCACTCCGTTTGTACTTTGCTGCAAGTGCAAGTGCAGTAAAGGTGATGATGACCCTCTGCCCACCTAGAGAACGGCGCGATGCTGGAGCAGGACCCCCGCCTGCGGGAAGCGTGGTTCCCCCACCCCACCCCGCTGTCCCCCTCTCACTAAACATCTCTCTTGCCTTATGTGCCCCATTGAGCTTCACAGTGTCACGCCAGGACGCCGTGATTCCAGGGACTGATGTCAGGTCGTCGGCCGAGGCCCCAGGTGCGGTCACCCCCGGCAGGGGGGAGGCAAGGCTGGCGTGGGTGGGGCGCGTCACACAGGGTGGGTCTCTGCAGACTCGCCGAGGGAGGTGCCGTGCTGAGCGCCCCCCACCCCGGTGACGTTCTCCCCGTCCCGCTGGACCGGGACCCTCTGATGTTGCCGAGGGGATCATCTCAAGCGGAGTGCAGTCTGTCTCCTCCCTGGCTTCAAGCTGGCACCTCCTCGTGGCTGAGAGAAGTCCTTTAAGGATCGCGTTTCACTTCAGGCAGAATCCGAGTGTTCTGACTTGAGAAAAAGCATTCTGTTTGGGACAACTCTTTTTATTACTAATGGCATTTAGTAAAATCCTTTTTAGAAGGCTTCCCCCCCACCCCCCAACCAAGTAGTGAAAAATCAACATGGTGCATCGAAACCATTGTATGCCTTCTCTTAAGATGTGCGGTTTTAAGAAGTTATGATGAAATGGCCTTTCTGGCTCGGCCACTTTGCAAGAGATTTAGGAAGCCTTGTGTACTCTTTGTGTCTTTTCTTTATGCTCATGGAGACTTTTTGGATTGCTGTGCGCTGTATACTGTTATCAGCGTGTTTCCTTTATCACTGAGTTTCTTTTGAACATACTGATGCATTTAAAGGAACATCTCCACCCTAGGTTCGCCTTTTGTTATTCTCTCTCTACCGATTCAGCTCGGATCGCAGGGCTCCTCTCATGTCTTCAGAAACCAAATGTTTTACTTGGTAATAGTTTTGTTGAGAATCCCTGTGGTTTGGCCGCAGCGTCAGTCCCCTCAAGCAGACAAAACCAAATGGAATAGTGACCCTGAAGTCCAGGGGAAGGGCTTCCTGGCAGGGGGCTGGGGGACAAGCTTCTGGATGTTCACGGTTTTGACATGACTGAGTTATTCTGGAGAAATCATCTCTCTTACACAGTTCCAAGTCCTGCTGCTTACCCCTTTGCCCCTGCTGAAAAAAATCTTCCGCTTCACTTAGTTGTTCTGATTGAGGGGGTATTACCACTCGGTCTTTTTACAGCTGTGTGTGACCGTGACCAGGGCAGGTGGATGCCCAGATCAATAACACATCCCGGGCTCCATAAGTTAACTTTGGGCAATGTCTGCTTTACAGACAGTTGGCTTTACTGTGGCTTTCAAAGAGCACATTGACTTCATCCAGCTTGGGACTTCTAAATATAGTAGGTGATTGTTGTGGATTGATCATGGTGGAACTTTTTAAAACTTATTGAGCATTCCGCGAAAGAGTAAAATGAAAACGAAGTCTTTTATTTTTGTTGTTTGCTTGTGTCAGGCACGTTGGTACAGCGTGGTGTTTTGTATCCTTGACGTCTGCGTTTGTGTATCCAGCTCAGGTCCTCGATTACCTTCTCGTAGAGAAATGACTTTTATTTGTTAACATATAATCAGCTTAGGAGAAACAGGATCACTCTTTCCCTCTAGGATTCATTTTCTTTTTGAAACTGAAGCCATTTTAGGGAGCCAGTCTGTGTCAAAATTATGTGCAGAACAGCCTCCATATAATTGCAGTTTGAAAACTCACTAAGGATGAGGACATGCCCGTGGCCATCTGCCTGGATGAAGCCTGGGCGCTGAGTCTCTGCGGCTGAAGGTGAGCTTGGTGGCCCAGGCTCGAGAGCTCACTGCGATTTGTGAGTGCCCTTTAAAGTTCTCATGGAAGACAGCAGGCTTGCGGCCCGTGTCCAGTGGCGCACGGGGCAGAGCTTCCCATCCCAGATCACCCTGTCTGTACTTGCTGCTCTCCGTCAGGTCCAGGGGTCCAGGCGGTAGTGCCCCTTACTTTGGGGTGGGGACCAGAGCTGTTGGAAACGCTGCCTTTCCTGGGCCAGCGCTCAGGTCCTTTCATTCCTAGCAGGCTGGGCCGCCTGTTCTCCTGGGGGAGTCCACGGGTAGATTGTGCACACGCAGAGCCCCTGCCAGCCCTGTGCCTTTAGCCCTGACAGTTCACCGCACATGGTGCGACCCGGGTAGGACACACCGGGATTCTGGGGTCCCCTGGGGCCTGAGTCACATCTGCTTGCTCTGAGTTTTTACATCAAGCCTGCCTGAGAGTGCTCGGTGTAATTTAGGAAAAGCAAAAATAAAGCTGCCTGTTCCCTAGAAAGACACCGGCAGGGTCGCCTTGAGAGCCTTTCGGAGACTTGCAGCATCACCATCTGACGCCTCTCCTTTCAGCGAGGAGCACCGTCCCTGTTGTTCATGGGGACACAGGATGGACTGGGCCTGATGTCAGGTGTACACAGGATGTGGGGAGATGGCCCGTGTTGTGGTTTCTGACCTTGCCGTCACTCCCAGGAAAGCCTGGGTGTTTGACACTGCGGATGTGGCTTTAATCGAAGATGACCTTTGACAGGTGGTGTTCACACTGACCCTCTGGAAGCACACATCTGTTGATTCATTTAGAGGCCTTTAATTCTGGGGGGCTGGGGAGGGGAAGAAGAACACGGAGATGGACTATGGCTGAGTGCCCCTGGCTGGGTGGGGGCGACGGAGGGTGTGGTGATCGGAGTCCTTTGGGAATGGATGGTGCAGTGAGGTTTCACTGGCCATGCCTGGGCTCTGAGCCGGGCTCCGCCCTGCGTCCTGTAGCCTGGCCAGCCCAGCTTCACCATTGTCACCGGGGACCAGCGCCTTCAGGGGCATCGTTGTAGATGGTGACTCAGCAGAGACCAACCCAGGACCTGAGCATAAAGAGAACCTTTGAAGGCCCGAATGCTGACCCATCAGTGTTTCCTTCACCCCTGGGAGAAGCTAAGGAATGAAGTCTGCCCCTTCTGGAATCTTTTTAAAGGGGAACAGATTCTCTTTACAGCATAATGTTTCTTAAAACCGGTTTAAGAACCAGACAAATTCCTGATGAGCACATAGGACCCGGGGAAAGGGGCTTATCAGATATGCAGAAATTACTCCAAGATTATTTCATCTTTCTCACCTGTGTTCCAAAAGTTAAAAGTTATTTTTCAAATTAGAAGAGAGTGTTTTCCCTTGGTTGTGTTTAAAAATGAGAGTACTGGAAAGAACCAGGGTGGGCTTTTTTTTTTTTGGTCTATTTCTCAGATTCTCGTTGATTAATAAATACCTGTCTATGTATATATAAATCACAGTGAAATCATCAAGGGAAAACATTTTGCATGTATAAAGCTTCCTGAAGGTCTCTTTCAAAAATACCAAAGCTTGTTTATTCCTTATCATTAACCCAAGCCCTTATGAAAGTAAACAAAATGAAGAGTTGTGACTGGTGTTGTCAAAATTGCCAGCTGGAAAGAAGGGGGTGCATGAAAGCAGAATGACTGATGCGTCCCGACCCGGAGAGCCTGCTGTTTGGGGGCGCCAAGCCCATGCTCGCCCCTCCTTAGTTTGCACAATCCTGTCTTCCGAGATTCCAGCAGCCTTCAGGGAGGGGTAGGTACCCGACCTTTCCCTCATCTCATTTTACCGTGGGTGTATTCTACTCTTGTGTAAAAACATGCATGAATGAGTCATGCACATGTATACATTATGTATTTGACAAGTGGTGGTAAAAACAAACAAACAAACAAAAAAACCAAAACAAGTTTGGTTTGTGATTTTGAAATGTCAGTACATTTTGTGCCACTCACACTGTGATGTATAAAAGAGCTGTTTGAACGCCTTTTAATGTCGTGTTTTGTACTTTGGAATCATATAGACAAGTTTGATTTGTAATTTCAATACATATTTTAAGTGTATTGTGTCTTATGTAGTTTGTCCCCTACCCCTTTAGAAGGGATTTCTTTTTAAAGATATTTTGGCTGGAATACAGGTTACTTTTGTAAATCCTGTCTGGCTCCATCTTTCTTACACTCTTAGTTGACTGCTGGCTTGAAGATTGAAAATATTGTGAGGATTGGAGGTGGACGGGAGAGGGTCCTTATGCCACTGGGAACACAGCTTTTAAAAAAATTGAGTTATAATTAACATGCAGTAGAATAATTTTATGGGTGTACAGCATTGTGGTTCAGTATTTTTATATATTATGAGATGATCACCAACAGTAAGACCAGCAACCGTTTGTCACATGGTAGCTCTGACTGTATAAAGGTGCTTCAGTCTTACTGACTCTATTCTTTATGTTACATCCCAGAACTAGTCTCACAGCTGGAAGTGTGTACCTCTTCATCTCCTTCATGTTTTATCTGTCCCCCAGCCCCCTCCCTCTGGCAACCACAATTGTTGTCTGTAACTAAAAGTCTATTTCTGCTTTGTTTCCTTTGCTCATTGCTTTGCTTTTGTACATTTCACTTGGCGAGACACCCTTCAGGCACATCTGTATATGCTGAGGTTTTCTCTCTTGGGAACGTTCTCAACTCTCTCGAAGCCAAAATCATGTGGGGTGCTGGGTAAGTGAACCCCACTAGTGCCTTCTCTAGGAAAATGACATCAGAAAGCACCTCAACCGCAGTTCTCTGCCTCCATCCATGGAGACAAGTACTTAAAAAACTACCGAAGTTTAGGGGAGCGTCGTAAGAATCAGTGATCATCTTGTCATTGCTAGAAAAAAAGAGTAAACATGGATGCTAAGTTTAATAGGAGAAAAAATTAATAACTCTTGAGTATTCCACCTTGATTTTCATTTGCTTCATCTACATTTCCTGGAAGAATATATCAGTTCAGTTCAGTTCAGTCGCTCGGTCGTGTCCGACTCTTTGCGACCCCTTGAATCGCAGCACGCCAGACCTCCCTGTCCATCACCAACTCCCGGAGTTTACTCAGACTCATGTCCATCGAGTGATGCCATCCAGCCATCTCATCCTCTGTCATCCCCTTCTCCTCCTGCCCCCAACCCCTCCTAGCATCAGGGTCCTTTCAAATGAGTCAACTCTTCCCATGAGGTGGCCATGAAGATACTGGAGTTTGAGCTTCAGCATCAGTCCTTCCAATGAACACCCAGGACTGATCTCCTTTAGGATGGACTGGGTGGATCTCCTTGCAGTCCAAGAGAATCTCAAGAGTCTTCACCACCACCACAGTTCAAAAGCATCAATTCTTCAGCACTCAGCTTTCTTTATAGTCCAACTCTCACATCCATACATGACCACTGGAAAAACCATAGCCTTGACTAGACGGACCTTTGTTGGCAAAATACTGTCTCTGCTTTTTAATATGCTATCTAGGTTGGTCATAACTTTCCTTCCAAGGAGTAAGCGTCTTTTAATTTACTGCACTTATTAGCATAAAATGAAAGGCTAGGAAAAGGCAGTTAGTTACCTGTCCTGTGGCTACAGTTTAAAACCCATCCTCGCCTTCCCCAGTGGCTCAGTGATAAAGAATTCACTGCCAGTGCAGGAGATGCGGGTTCAATCCCTGGTCTGGGAGGATCCCACATGCCGCGGAGCATCTAAGACACAACTGCTGAGCCCGAACTCTGAGCTGAGGAGACAGAACTGATGAACCCAGACGCCCTGGAGCCCATGTTCCACAACAAGGGAAGCCACCCTGATGAGCAGCCCCTCCACCGTGGCGAGACAGTATCCCCTGCTCGCCGCTACCAGAAAAAAGCCCACACAGCAACGAAGACCCAGCACAACCGAAAATTAAGTAATTAATTAAAAAATAAATATTAGCCATCCTTAGACTCTGGAGATGCGGGTGCAGGAAGGAGTATGCTGTGAGCGGATGACCCGTTGCTGGCATTGAAGACATGGTGTCCCTGCTCACGCGGGCTCCTCGTCTGGAGGGAGGCCGATCTGTGGGTCAGCGATCAGGGCAAGGTGTGGCCAGGGCCCTGGTGGCCACCCCGTGGCACTGCACCCAGGACGGGTGGTCAGGGAGGGCTGTGGGGGGGGTGAGGTGTGTGGACTGGGTCTAGCAGATGAAGAAGCGTCGGCCGAGCAGAAATGAGGGAATGGCCCAGTCCGCAAGCGCAAGCACTATGATGGGCATACTGGATCTGGACAGCCACTGGGGGTCCCCCCTCGGGAGGCATAGCCCACAGAGTCCCAGGGCTTCATTCTAAAGCTGTGGGGGGGGGGGGGGCAGGTGCATCAGCTTTCTAGGGCCGCCACGACAGAGCACCACAAATAGGGCTGAAACAACGGGAATGTCTTCTCTCTTACTTCTGGAGGCCAGGGGCCCATGGTCTGCAGGAAGCAAGGTGGCTCCTGAGAAGCCCGAGCGCAGGCCCGTGCCAGCCTCCCTCCCAGCGGGGGCTCTGCCAGCATCTCGGGCAGCCCCGGGCTTGTGCGGGCTGCCCGTAATCTGTCTGCATCTTCTCATGCTCTTTCCCCCGTGTGCTGCTCTGTCTCTGCATCCACGTTTGCTTCTGTGAAGACACCAGCCATTGGATTAGCTGCCCCTGCCCCAAGTCCAGGGTGACCTCAAGCTGACCATCTTTAAAGGCCCTGTTTCCACATGAGATCACAGTCACGGTTGCTAGAGGTGGGGATTCCAGCATGTTTTGGGCGGGGGGGACAGCTCAGCCCGTGACGGGGAGCATGGTCCATGGGTGGGATGACCCTGCTCAAGTGGAGGCCAATCCGAGGAGGCAGACGAGAGTCAAAGGCAGGGGGTTGCCAAGCTTCCTCGACCCTGAAACAGCCCCACTCTGGTTGGATCTCAGGTCTTCAAGCTGACCGGGAAGGTGGGAATCACCCCAGAGGACACTCTGCTGAGGAGCAACTGCTTTTAAGCAAAATAAATCTGTGTGTGTGTGTGTGTGTGTGTGTGTACACATGATTTGTGTATATACACATGGTTTGTGTGTGTGTGTGTGTGTGTGTGTACACATGGTTTGTGTGTACATGGTGTGTGTGTGTACATGGGGTGTGTACATGGTGTGTGTGTGTGTGTGTACATGGTTTGTGTGTGTGTACACATGGTTTGTGTGTACGTGTGTGTACATGGTTTGTGTGTACATGGTTTGTGTGTACATGTGTGTGTACATGGTTTGTGTGTACATGGTGTGTGTGTGTGTGTGTGTGTGTGTGTACACATAGGTACATGGACTTGTTCTCCCCACAAAGAATACTCCTCTGTGCCTGCACTCGCCCACATCACAGACTCTTAGGGGACTCAAATTACGGAGCATGGGCGGGTGTGGGTACTGACCGCAGCTTGTGTGTGTGTGTGTTTGTGTGGAGGGTTGCTGTGCCCGGGTCCTGGGGGAGAGCATAGCTGTTGATGCGGCCAGACCCCAGACAGCATCAAATGCTCCTGTTTCCTGGGCTCTCAGTCATTTAAAAGTGGCCATTCCCGCTCACTACTGGAGCTTTCACAACCCACTCCTCCCTTTCTGGCATCACGCAGCCGCATGTTTAGGGGTGAGGCCGACGCCCAGCGCGAGCAGGAGCGTCATGATCAGGAGTGTGGCCGCGACCCGCAGGGCGCCCTGGGCTCCAGTCCCCGGTGGGTGAATTCTTAGGCCTGTGTCTTACCAGGTCATCCTTTTCTTCATTTGAAAAGGAGGGTTAAAATCCTTTATGGGACTTTTTTATCTTGCTTTTTTCAATATGTATTTATTTAAAATTTTTATATGAAAGGAATCAATTTTGGAAGATTCAGAAAGGTAGACTCAATTATTTTATCCAGGAATTTTTATCTTTCTTTTTTCAGTATTTATTTATTTAAAATTTTTATATGAAAGGAATCAATTTTGGAAGATTCAGAAAGGTAGACTCAATTATTTTATCCAGGAATTTTTATCTTTCTTTTTTCAGTATTTATTTATTTAAAATTTTTATACAAAAAAAAAAAATCAATGACGTTTCAGAAAAGTAGACTTACTTGTTAGTTTTACCCAGGAGTTTAGGACATCAATATTATAAATACAGGTTTTTTTCTTGTTTGCATCATCAAGTCTGACATAGTAGAGACTGTTAGGAGCTGGTTAAATGGAGGAATAAATTGCCCTGCATGTGTGTGTGTGTGTGTATGTGTGTGTTTATTGGAGGGGTGTCAGTTACTTGGGTCATTCAGTTAAGAAATCAGCCATTAAATTTGAACTGAAGACAGACAGACCATCTAGAGGCAGAAGTCTCACTCTACATGTGTTATGAATTGGGCCCCTTGGGTTACGAATAGGCCAGGCAGTTTTCTGTCTCCATGCAGGTGCTGATTCGAGTGCTCCCAAGTCTGCCAGGACTGTGATCCCCACAGCGCAGTGAGAAAGGGGCTCTGGGAGAACTGGCCACCTCCTAGGACGTGGTGGCCAGTGGGGGACGGGTCTGCCCTGCTGGACTCATGTGTTGCCCATCACGCTGTTTTTGTGTCCTTCCTCTCTTGATCCACTCTCAACAAAATTATTGTGTATATATTGTGTATTGTAACATACTGCAAAAATATTACCATAAATTACACTGCATAGTTTATTATAATACACGTGGTAAAAGTGTTGTAAACAGAACCAGTGCACATCAGATCCACAGTCAGTTACTTTCTAGGAAAGTGGGGGGCAGGGTGACGGAAGGAAGGGGACACCCTTCGGAGATGCCTCAGCCCCGCCTGTGATGTTTATTTCACACATTAGGTATATAACTGAGCTCTATAGCATTCAGGTTTTATTTTTATTTTTAATTTAGCTGGAAAGTGCATGGGTGTTCATTACACTATCCTTTCTACTTTGTTTTTGATTTTTAATTTTTTAAGAGTTAGATTTTGACCCCAGCCCTCCTGCACTGCTCCTTATTTATGCTTTTAAAATTCTAAGACATTATCATCTCCCAAGAGTGTGGATTCTCTGGTGTAGCTTTAGGCAGAGACAAAAGAACTTGCCTTTGAAGGACTAACAGATTCTTGACTCCTCTGACCTCCTAGGGGGAATCCCTAGAGACCCCTAATAC